AGTTTCATGGACGAATAATATAGGTATGCTTAAAACACTTATTTTTTGCCTACATTAGTTGATTCGGAATGAGAAGGCAAAATAATGCTTAAATTGAGAAACTAAACGAATTCAACAAACAATTAACTGATTAACAAATGTATAACACAGTTGTAGGTTATGACAAAGTGGGAAATCTTCCAGATTTAGTTGAGAGTAATAAAAAACTGTGGGACATTGGACAATGTAATAGTGATGAAACAGAAAAAGGGAAGTAAAATCAAACGGAAACTTTCACCTTTCATGGATGGTAAGGAAATACAGACAAAATTCGGCAAAGGAAAATAATTCGAACTGATACCACTGCAATCGACATCGAAACATTTTTGGAAGCAGTGCAATTTTTCTAAATCCACAACCCAATATATTCCGTTACTCCGATGCTCTCGGCCAATATTGAAACAATAACGGCAATTTGCGATCTAAAAATGTAAGTTTTCTACTATGTGAAAAAACATTTCCTTAAAAAGATCCTGCTCCGTTTTTTCCACAGTGACTTAAGAAATAATGAGAGTTAATAATATTATAAGTTCTTTTTGTTATATAAATGAAGTGATACTGGAACAGAAAAAATGTTTCCAAATGTTTAACATACATAATAAATGATATATCGAGACATTGTAAATTTATCCACTAACAATTTCCACTGTCGAATAGATGCATTATCCTTCCACTGTCTGAAGAATATTGTATTAATCCAAAGAAATAAGTGGATCATTACTGGGAAGTAATTGAAAAAACACCTGTTTATAGCGATGATATGTTGATCCAATACGGGAAAAGGTGAAGTTGCTCCATGGCCAATCATGCAATCCACATTTTCATTTGATACAGGAACTGAACTATTTTTGATTAACCAATAATAATTGATGATTGAAAAATTAGCATTGGTGCTTCTTTGGGTCAAATCTGTTTTATACTTATTGAATCAAATTAAAAGTTAAAAATAAAATTCTAGAAATCACTTCGGATATTGAATACAAGAGATTCGGCATTTAAGTGTTAGACACCGTAAAATTCACTACAAATAAGAAAGCAAGATAAAGTCTAAATCGTGAAATTAAGCAAATTAATATTTTGTCTTCTGATTAAATTTCGAAATATACCTCGAGTAGGAAGTGTAAGGATTTTTGGCTCTCTACTTTGAATAGTCGGAAATTCTCCATTAGTTATTGAGAGATGAAAGATTTCGGGAGTATTATATTTGATAGGTACGATTAATGAATCGAGGAAAATTTGTTTTCTTGAACGGTGTTTCTTGTGGGCATAGAAATTACAACGCTGCGCGAGTACTAAAGGGTTATTTTTTCCCAATTTTGATGATAAATACAAACGAAAATTACGATTCCTGAAAATATTTTTTATTGATAGCTAAGAATTAATAGAAGTAACACTTCATAATGAGTGGTAAAAATCCACTGACTACTAAGCGAAAACAACTTTTCCCGTACCAATGACAATAAAAGTTCTCTAAGAAATAAAGATTTGGTACAAGTTTACCAAATGCTCTCATAGTTATAAAACAAAGAACATTGTAAGATGGTCGAAGTTATTCTCTCCCACAAGAAGGTTGCCGGATGTAATATAAAAACGAATTTCAAGACTAGTCGATATGAGGAAAAAAATAATTCTCATTAAGACGATATTTTCTATTTAGATAATTCAGGTAACGATAGATTTGTGTTAATTTAAAGCATCAATTAGATATCTTATTGATGGAGAACATTATCTTAATCTAATTCTACCACAGTGAACTCTTTAACAGAAATTTTTTCAGACCAAGCGAGAATTATTTTTCGTCAAGTTTTCTAAAACAGCGATTTAAACCAAACTAATATGAAAATTTATTCCATCCAGGTATTTATCACAAGCAAATGCCTCTTCATCACCCAAACGACGGCATATGAAAAATCGAAACTCACGCAGAATAAACAGCTGCATCAAAAAATGTCACCAGTTTGGTAGCGTCCGCATTCCAAACTAAACATCGGCCAGATGATAACATTTTTTCCTTCAGTTGTTGCATAAAAGATTTCATGGAAGTGTTTGATGGAAATAATTGGCCATTAATTAAATGGACGATAATATGCTCGCTGAATTTAGTAGTTGTTGAAGCATCAAGCACCAACATTTCCTGTAAAATAATGACTCATCATAAACACAATTAACCATTGTTGAACGGTAAGACTTGTTACCGCTCATTACTACTTACATTATTGATTCTTTACACTTAACCTTCCTGTGAAATTCAGATTCAATTAATGCAAATTCAAACGATTAAAAAAATGAAGAGTTTTCAAATTCAAATAAACAACTAAGATTAGAATTACCTTCTTCCTTGCTCAACTTTCTACATACTCTTAATTTCTCAAAATTTGAAAAATCCTAGCTGTCAAATGAGCTGAAATTAAACTGAATAAAACCAGAAAATTTATTTTTTATCTTTTTTAATAAAACGTCAAAATACCAACTTTTTCCGGACTTAGATCAATACCAAACATTTCTGTGAATACTTCACTAACGCAGTCATTAAAATCTTTAATCAATTTCTCCTCTTTAACATTGGGATTCGTTTCTCGATAAAATTCAAGATCAAAGTAGAGATGTGCAGGACGATTTTGCGGTATTAGTTCGTAAAATGAAACATCGCATTGTCTCTTATACCACTGCCAGAACCGTTCTACTGTCGATACAAGATATCGCCTTTGTCCTGCAAAAAATCTAGTCAAAGAATTAAAAAGCTTCTATCCGTACAAATGAACAATAAAAAGATAATACATAAAGAGACCTTATGAACAAAAAAACTCTTCATTTGTCTGAGAAAAACGCTGAATTAGTCTCGCTATGATTTTGATGCCTTACAAAAATCTGACGTTTCATTTATATTCTAAAATATTATTCTCGAACTTACATAATCAAAACCACTCCTTTCGTACTTGATAATTTTACAAAAATCTTGAAACTATTTCTGCCTAACACTTTAGAAGCAACTCGTATAATTCTCAGTTAAAAGCTTCCCACTTTTACTTACCTGGATGATGAATGGAATATTCAAATGCAAACACTCTTGCCATTGGCCCTTCTTGCTCACATTTTAGTACTGCATCGTTTTGTCGCTTGTAAATCACAAAACAACCCAATGAATCTTCGAAAAGACTTTGTTTCGACTTTTGCTTCTCCGAAAATACCATGATTATAATTCAAAATCATAACACGTGTCCATTTAAAAAATTCAACTTTCTACTACATCAGCGAAAAAGAGTACCTTACATCACAACTGACAAAATTTGCAAAGTATTTAAAAAAACAAAAAAAAAAGAAAAAAGGCGAAACTAGTTACATAATAATAATTTGCACCATTCCAATATTTAATGAATTTACTGCTTTCAGTTATCTCACCAGAGTTGGCCGAAAAATTTTACTGGAAAGGAATTACCTGTGCTTTATTCGAAACAGTCTGATCTGTAATTGTTGCTCGTTCACATTTATCATGTGATCCATAGAACCATATTTCTTTATCATCAATCAAATCCAACCGTTTCATGTCAATCATCCTGCAATTAATTCATATAAATTTTCAGTTTGTCAAATTTGACTACTGAATTAACATGAAATATGCTAAAAGCCGACTGAATGGAAAAGAAAATTGTCGATAGTCATTTCGTAGCAGCCTTGGAACAATGAATTATTTCAAAAATTGTGAGCTGTGTTAGTTCTCCTATATTGAATAAATGAAGAAAATTTTGTAGGAAACGTTTTACTGCGGCAAATTAAGCTAATAACACAAGATGTGATACACGAGAAACACAAAATAATCACCGTTTACTACACATAACTCCTCACTACTCTTCTCAAATTGATTTAATAGTTTTTTGATAATTTTTAAAGAATATCATTTGAAATTCCTCGACTTATGTTTTAAAACTTGTTCCCGCACTTAAAAAACTTCATCCCATCCGTACATTATGTGGATGGATAATCTCTGAAATGTATGGACTTATTAAATCTATCGAATCAGACCGAAAAACAAAAGTATTTGAACACAACAAAATAAAGCATGAATGATTTATGCATATGTTTCGGACTATTTGGAAGCTTATTACACATCACTGAATTTATCAGATTTCAAAAATCCACATATTACATATTTACATCATTGATCAGAAAGGAAAAACAATGTTCGGCGAGAAATACATATAATAATCGCAGTTCAATATACATGATATTCTTCTCCGGTAACATTATTATTAATTATCTCAAAAAGTAGTATTATAATTATCTAGTTACTCAGTACAATATATTTGTTGGTAATGTAAGTGGGATAAGGAAAACAGATTCGCCAAACAGCCTTGTCTATAACCACCGGTACGGTTCCAAAATTTTCTTAATAAGCTTTACAAAAGCTTTTACAAAAGTCTTCATCGAAGATAGATTCAAACTGAGGTACTGTTAATATGAGCAGCAGACAAATCACAATTAATAATCTAAGGTAAGAATTCTCCCACGCCATGGCGATCGCGATTGATATACTCAGCGTTTGTTACATCTGGAATCTTTTGTTTCATCTTTTCCCACATTTCTTGTTCCTCGCATTTTTCGAATAAATTTGGAAGTTGAAATTCGAATCCTTTCTTCTGTAACAAGCTTAAATCAAAATTAAAAGTAAAAAAAAGGAAATGATAGAAGTCAAAAAATAAACATAAGAAATAACAAATTAACAAACACAGAAAATAAGAAAAAAAATAATAATTGTCAGATGAAATAAGGATGAAAACTCAAACTGATTAAATGGTTGTGTCTTTCACCAAACTTATCGTATTATGCAAATCAGCATGAATGCTAATAGTAAATATGATCATTTATTTCAAAATACAAGTAAACAGATTTTGAACGAAATTCTAAATCATTAGATTTCAATTTAACTACGCGATAAAGAGTTAATAAAGTCGAGATTGAAATTACCATAAAAACGTATGCATATTTTTTGTCATCTTCTTTCCACAAAGCTTTTCGCTTCTCTTTATCGAGAGGAAAATCATATGTAACTTGACCACTTTTTACCTGAAAGCCTAAGGCAGTGAAAAAGAGTGACAAAGTCTTTGAACCGTTGTCTTATTAGTAGACAATTTTAAATTAAACAAACCGATTGGATAGTTTGCAAAACAAAGAAATGGACAAATAGAAAACAGACATTGAAAAAGGAAGAAAACAGAGAATCAAATTTACTAAAATGTGTGAACCACATAAAAATTTACCAAGGTTCGAACTTCTCGAACTGGAAGATTGTATATTTTTTCCAAATATTCTCTAATATCGTGTCTCGTCATCCTGCATAAACGAATTATTCATCACAGTTTAGACTTCATTGAAATGTCAGAAATATTATTAAATATAACAAACCTTTTGTCGACTTCAAACTTAACAACATGTTTAGGCAATCGAACAGGATGTGGGTCGACTACTTTCATCCAGAAATCGGGCAAAAACACTCGTATTTTCGGATTTCCGGGCTGCCACAAACGATATACTCTCGTCGACATAAGACAACTAAATCATCACTTCATGATAATAATAAAACTTTAAAAAACGTTCAGTCAATAATGCGAAACCAAAGCGCAAAGCAGTTCTTGAATGACCCAAAATTAAGCTTCCCATACAACTGATAGAGTTGGATGAGCTTCCCATACAACTGATAGAGTTGGATGCCAAGAATTGGATGATTTTGATAAGCAAATCTGGTAAAAAACTAGTGGGATTCAAAACATTTCTGAAAGACATTTCAGCGTAGCAGGATAGCAGAAATTCTTAATGAATTGGGACTGAAAAACAAACATTTTACAGTTAAGATAGAGCGAATTTGAAACTTAAATAATGAAAGTTTATTCACCTTAATCCAACAACAAAATAAATTATAACAACGATTCAGAACTGCAGCAACTCGAGCACTATGCCATCACTTTCACAGAAACAAACAAAAATTTTACAGTTAAAATATAGTGAATTTGAAACTTGAAAAGTATACTAACTAAGGAAAATTCCATGAAGGCTGATTAAATTCAATATTGGGTCAAGACAAATTCAGGTCTCTTGATATGAAATAAGTGAAAAATTGTTTGAAAAATATGGCAATGTCTAACAGTTACTGATCTATCGTCATTATTCAGCAACTAGGTTTTAGACAAAAATCATCAGATATCCTCATAGGTTATCTGATAACGTTAGCAATAATAACTCAATAAACGTCATATCATAAATCAAAGAGTAAGATTTCAAAGAGTTAATTATTAGTGATACCCCAATACTAACAATTTTAGTAAACACAAGCAGATACGAAAGGAATTCTTTTCATAAAAGCTTGTATATTCAACGCTTACTCAAAATTTGATTTTCAGGATCAAATTTTGAATGTCTACATGTAGCGAGAATTATTTCAACAGAGAAAAGTGAAAAGAATAAATATTTCAAATGACTGAGCCATAAATTTAAAAAATCAAAATGAATGTATAAAATATGAGTACCGTAAATATTAAATGATCATGGCGCAACTGTCCATGGTATCAGCTACCTAAATGAAGTTTATAACGTCTATTTCATTCAAGCCTCGATTAAGCTCAGTAGAATGTGTTGGGATATTCTAAAGTTGATGGGAAAAATCATCGTTTATAAATAAATGAAACAAACAGAACCCATCTTATGATTAAAAGGAATGAAATATCTTCAGAGGACATTTGAATTAATCATATTTTATCCGCAATGCTCACCCCGCAATCTTCGTTCAAAAACAATATATGCTTGTTTATTGTTGAGAGAAATTCGAGCCATACTGTTTGCGTGTTTAATCATATTGCACAAAATACTTGTAGTATTTTGTACGATATTATCCAAACATGAAAATAATATATTTTTATACATATTTTCATAAATATTGTTCCTTCGACCTACTTGGATTTCTAGCACTCGACTGAGAAGAAATCTCCTGCACATTAAAAAATCAGAAGAGCACTATATATGCAGAACAATTTTTGTGTCATAAATTTTAAATGGTCTTTCACAAAAAATCTTTCACAATATGAAAAAGAGTAATTTATAGCTCGGCGTGTTCATCAACTGCTTCATGCTCAGACCTCCTTGCTTCTTCTGTATGCTTTTTTGATCTTTCATCAAGTAATGCTTTTATTTCAGCATCATAATCTTTCCACTCAGGTATAATTCGCATGGCCGAATCAAGTTTAGGTTCTTTAGTCTGCGGATTGTTGCACTAAAACATGAAACCAGCATAAAGTGCAGAAATTTCATGGTTCAAAGTCCATGCCTTAAGAAAATCTCACTAAAATCTAACTTCTTTCATATAAATAAGAGTGTATTATAAATAATACTTCAACTATTTCCAAAAAGATTCCCATGGAAAAATTTTATAAGCAAAAAGGAACATGAAAAAAATTAGTAAGAAATGAAGGAGCTAAGTGTAAAAGCTATAAATGTTTAAATTTACTAACTGCAGTAGACCAGTTAAAAAAATCTTATCCAAAAAGAATTGACAACAAACCAAATCAATCGTTTTTGCCTTTTCTTTCGAAGCATCGTCACACCATGTTTCACACCAGAGCCATTCTTGTGGTAATGATTTAATACGCACTTGATGAATCATATTATTTGGTAAATCCTGTAGAAATAGTAAAATTAGCGGGAAAAAAGCCAGTGAATAAACATATCACTTAGCAGGCAAATTAATTATGATAAAAAAAAGGAGAAAAAAAGCTACCTGGTCCAGATTTGAAAGGCTATTTGGATCAACACTTAATCCTTGATATTGACCACGTAAGCGATCACCGGCAGCCACCTGGCGAAATTTAACCAGATCGATGACGTAAAGTGCGCTAAAAATTACAATGCATCTTCACAGTTACAAAGTAGAAACTCTGAATAAAAAGAAACTCGAAAAACTTACCTGATATGATATTTGCGACCAGCAAGATGATTAGCCCAGTAACCTTTTTTCCAGAATCTGAAACCATCCATGGATGTCCTGCTGTCACAGAATGGCGTGAAACCATAGGGAGCACCTCCCAAATCAAACTCCATCAGTTCCATCAGATCTGTCCGAACTATTTGATCAGCATCAACGAAAATTATTTTTCGTACATTTAACGGGAATAGAACATCCAAGAAAAGTATTTTGTATCTACAAAAGGATGAAATATATCAAACGAATACAATCCCGAAAAGATCAAATAAACTGAAAATAAATAAGGTTTTATATGTCAATTTCAATAAATTTCATAAAAATTCATCTCTATGAAATCATAAAAAATCGATTAAACAGCAATCTGAATGAAATAAATAAATGCAAAATAGTTCATATTCTCTCTTGTTGAGTGAGCATATTTGTTTATTCTTATGTATCTTACCCCCACATAACTCGCTGTTTTTCAGTCTGCTGATGTAACCAACGCGGCCAACGATAATCTATAAACTCATATTTGAAACCGTAATAACTAGCCATTTGAGGCAGTGTTTCCTGGAATAAATCACAGTTCAGAAATCAATTAAAATATAATTAATTTCAGAGATCTAAAAATATGATAAACGGGAATTAACTAGCCTTAAAGTTAGGTGACAAGTAATTCTTAAGCAGCCAGAAATTGACGGGATGTTTCGTGTGTTTCATTACACTCAAAATCATAATCCGCAGAAAACGTTCATATAAATGTCCCGATGCCAATGAAAAAATATTGATTGCGTCGTGTTTTTCACCGCCACTTCTGGAAAATCAAATCTGAAGAATAAGTTGTAGAAATTTAAGCGAATAATCTTAACTTGTAGATTTTAGATTAAAATTTCGACGTAATGTACAAATGATGTGATAAGAAAGATGATTCCTAAAAAATTCTAGTATCCAGTAGAATCCAAAAATAACTTCTACACTTAGTTACAACGTACATTGTCGATATACTGCTCCAAACGGAGTGGTAGTCTTCACTCTCTTCCTCCGATTTTCCCTCATTTAATAAATTTTCCTTTTCTTTTCCCTTTTTTTTGGCGACCCGAACACGAATTGTTCGACCACTGAATGAATCGATTAGCACATTTACTCCGGTTTCATCCTCCGATTCTGTATTTACATGGCTGTAAATATTTCGGTAAAGTCATTACGAATAATTTTATCACTAATAATAAATAACCAAGTTACAAGTGAAAGTAATTTGCAGCTTCTTGTTCTTCCACTCAATGTTGGTTATCTAAATTTGCTGACAGTTTCCAAAAAATATTTTTAGTGCAAAATTAGCCTTATACTTTCCACTGTTATATTAAAATAATAAGCTCTCAACATGTATGATTTCAGATAATACAAGAATAAAGATTAATATTAAATAATAATTTACTTACCTTACAATGTTGTAGATATCCTTCGATTTACCATCACGAAGATTTAAGATCCAAGCACCCGGATCAGCTTTTAACTGGAAGTAACCCTGAACAGAACTTCTTTATTAACTGCAAATAACAGCAATACTCAAAACAGAATAAAGGTAATAGAAGTGAAATAAGTAAAATCTAAAATATCATTGAGCATTCTAGAAAAAGAAAATCCAAATATACTCACCATTATATAACATTTTAGTTATTGTTGTAGTGTGGAAGTTACTGCATAAATTACTCTATTTTTTATAATGATCTAAATGAACTATTAAAACAACTACAACACATTTAGCTCTCACAATGCGTCTTCGAAAAACTGAAATTTTGCTTACCAAATTGGCCATAACAATCGTATCATAACGATTCGGGTTTGCTAGTGTACCCAAAGTAAACTGCAGACCACGCGGAGGTGATCCCGTCATATCATCGAAACAATGCCCTTCCAAAAGGATGTGCTCAAGCTCAAATTTCGCAATCACATTTCCTGCCACCTGAAAAATCTTATCTTTATATATCACATACTTCTCAACAAGCCTGATTCTACTTTTTTAATACTGTAATATATGACGAAACACTCATATGTTTACGATGGATGACAGAAAATAGACGCTGCTAGAATGTGCATCATCAGTGTTACACCACCACACTTAGAAAAGTGACCAAAAATAAAAAATCATGCCTTACATTTTCCAGTCTAATATTGTCCAGATCGTAAATGGCATATACTGACTGAACCATCCAAGCATCTGGTGGAACAACTGCAAGAGTTAATAGTTGCTTGCTTGGTAACGCTGTGAAACGTGCTTCATATGCAGAATCAGCAATACGCCCCGAATCATCAAACATCACTGAGGGTTGTAGTACGAGACGATAAAACCTATGAATTCATACTTGTAAACTGTTATTCGCAATCTTACAAAGAGATTGTCAATCAGAGAAACCACCTAGAAATTAAAGAAAGTTAATTTAAGATAAGATGAATAGTGATTAAAAAAATCCTTAAGATTTGGCAAAACTGACGGCAGAATTCCCTTAACTAGTGAACCTGGAAGAAAGCTATAAGTCTTGGTGCTATCGCCAAAAATTTTATTAGAATCACGATCCATACAGTTTCCGAGAAATTTAAGCAAATCGATATTCATAAAATATGAAATAGGACCACTGAAATTCACCTTTTTAGTGGAAGTTCGCTGAGTTTAGCTCTGGGATTCATTACTAATTTCACCTCCACATTGACAACTTTTTGTATAACAGTTAGCAAATGGCCAAGTCGTTGAGCTTGAGTAGATAATGGGTCAACAATACAAAGCGCCAGTATTAAGCCTTCCTTTTTGTTTCCAGAAACCGTCAAGACACTGCAACATATATAAAATATTTAATAAAAACAACAAAAGTACAAAGAAAATTAGGACGCATGAAAAAGTAATACCATAGAGCAAGAATCTCTCGCATTTAGTTAGTCTTTAAGTAACTAATTAATAAATGAGGCTCGTAGATAACCATTTATTGAGTGATCCGAACTAGCTGTGAATTAGCTTTGTTAAGAGCTAAAAATTCACAAAAAAAAACAATAATGGCATACCTCTCTTTCTCTCCTGAAAGTGGAATGAATCGTCGTTTTTTGGTAATACCAATACTTCCAATCAAAGACATAATACGTGCAACCATATCTGATGATTCTCCATGTCTCGTTTGTATTTTCCACTTTTCCACATAATCTCCAATGACCTTCAAATAAAGAAGGTTAATTTAAATTTGAGACATTTATATTGCACTTCGACTGAACCAATGAAAAATTATAACATTATTAACTAATTGAAGATTCCCGCCAACAATAATTTTGTATTTTGAAAAAGGATTCCGAAAAAATTTCAAAATCTGTTGAACGGAGATCCCATAGGTGTCGCATACCTTTCCACCCCGAAGCAAAACGAGTTTGTCAACCAGTTCCATATCGGCAACATCCAAAACTTCATCATCACCAAATGGCCCAACAAGTAAGCCATTAACTACTAATGCTAACTGTCCTGATTTCAAACCAAGAACACGCCTTGAGTACTTGGCATCTGCGAATATTTCATCACTATTTATTTGTTTCGATTCTTTATAGAAAAGTGTCATATTCATATCCTATAATGCATTTACAACAAGATTCATAAATAAGGACACAATTACATTCTTTAGTTCGACTCAAAATTTACTTCCTAGAGCATAGTCGTACTATTTTCACACATCATTATAACGCAGCATGCAGCTTTTAAAAATTTCGAATATGTTAATTAAATTTCATAAACGCATGAAAATTATTATACTTACTCGTAAAACGTTACTCGCATCTCTTAAAACAATTAAATATTTGGGGTAATTATTTTTTATAAAAAAAAAAAACAAACATTAACAGCAAGGTCATCCAATGTAACTTGTTCATCTAGCAGTTTCGATACAACTTCTTCTTTTACAAGTTTTGTTATAAATGATTTCATTTGTCGTGCTGTAAGCAAACGTGATGCGATATTTACAAGCATCGTTATACTGCCAGAAATGGTTGCTGCTTCAATCTACAATGCTTTACAATTGTTTACAGCTTATACAATATGCATACGATTCAGAGAAATGAGTTTTCCCCTAACTTCATCAGTTAAGAAAATTTGCACTAAGACTGTCTGTTATTAAAATTGCAAAAACTGATATTTATCTTACAACAATCTACTACGCCATACTAGTAATTTTTTTTAGCTTAATTCAAGAGAAAATAATTGTCATTTTAGCACAAGTTGAAAATTCCTTCAACTTCGACAACAAATATACACTAACCAAAAAAAACTCACATTTTTGGGATTATTGATGATAGCAACACGCATAGTATAAGAACGCTTAAGATGTCTGATTGCATTATAAGCTAGGAGTCGCCCTTCAGCAGTTTCTAAATCGGTCACTATCCAAACAGTAGAGAAATGAGTTTTCATTTCCTCTGAAATAAGGGAGAAAGTTTTTGATGGTTTCAAGTAGAAAAAAAGAAAGATGTGAACTTTTTGTAGCAATAATTATAAACAATAGAAGCTTCCAGGTTCTCATTGCTCTGAAATAAATAATCAGTACTTTTCAATAATTATCTTTTGCTATTCATTATTATACATTATAATTCTAAAAAAATTAAACAGAACATGCAAATCTCAAATTATAGTCTATTGAAATGTGAAGTGACTCCTAATGAATAACTGTATTCGTCAGTGAATGTTTACCTGTTCTCGTAATGTATCGCATTCTTTTTAGCATACACTGACTGTGCTTTTCTGGTGGTAGTTTGTGATATTTTGTAGGTGATATGTTTGTACATTTTTCGATAGATGTTAAATCCAGATACAATGCATCGGGTGATAATGGTGAATCCAAAATAAGCTTGTTAATTCGTGGCATAACTTCTGGCTGTAACAATCAAATCAAAGAGAACGCAGTAAAATCTGAACTAAAACTTGAAAAAAAAAACAGAAAATACAGGTGTCGCATAAATAACTTCTAGCATATAAAATATGTTCAATTCATTTTGCTGAAAACACCAACAGTGATTACTACAATTTCCTAAACTTTTGGCAAGCACAATCATATAATTAACCATTTCGAGAATTGAAATCGTTAATATTTTATACTTAAACCCGATATATAAATAAGTTCTTTGAAAAATTCTTCAATACCCACCTGCGAAAGTATCCAGTTCATTACATTATCTTGATCTTTTAGTTTTTTTTCCATCACTGCTTTCTGCAAACGCGGTGTAACACGCATTATTTCCATCATTACAGTTTCTTCAAAATGATCTCCTGTTATCTACAAAAAAGATCTCCCCAATAATTGCAATGCAAAATTTTGAAAGGAAAATTTAGACAGTAGTGAAACTTTGTGCATTCACGACTACATTACATTTTTAAAGAATATGGAAATGGCTGCTATTTAATACATGCGAAACTTTTAATTCTAAACAATAACATCCAACTTTCAACATCGTAAATCATTGCTTAATCAATATCTCTAGCATAAGTCTGTCAATGTGATAATATTTAGCTAGACTCAGATATCTTAAATTAGTAGGATACAGTGGATATAACCGCAGAGGAAATGGAAACTAAAGCAGAAAATAGCAACTTTCATAAGTTAAAGATATTCCTAAAACGTATTGCTCGAAAAAAATCATTCATAAAGTGAATACCTGTTCATCAATAATAAGAAAAGAAGTCAAAAATTAAGCTTACGCCGGAATAATCTAGAATAACACCATTCAAAAGCACTTTCGGTGTAAAGCCAAGTCCACTGTCATGAAGAAATTTATAACCTATTGAACGTCCATTATCATATTCAGAGTTACTACCAAATACGCTATTTGGATCATGGTTAGGATAATGCATTTGGAAATATGATAAGACATCTTTTGGAGATACAGATTTTTCCTTTCCATCTAGAACCTAAAAGTATATGGTGTTTACTTGGATGCAATTTTCAAATCAAAATAATTTTGCACCAATGCTTTAACAATTCTCAACAGCTGCAATTTTAAGTAGTGAATAACAAGGAGATGGGTGAAGACCGAAAAATTGGTGACATGTGTATAATTGAAAAAGAGCAGGAATGAGGAAAATGGAGGAGGATGAAGTTTCTCAGGAGAATGGATTGATACGAAAAAATAAAAAATAAAGATTTGGGATATGTTTATAAAAAAATTGACAATTTTTAACCTCAATTAAGACATTTAATGCTTTTTGAATACCATTACTTATTTTGATAAAATTGTATAAATTCAACATGGCGACAGAAGCATCATCAAAGCCAGTAATCTCTTTCTCATCATTAGCCACAAAAACAACTCCAAGCCTAAAAACAAGACAAAATAGAGAAAATTTTAAAGATTTAATCATTAACTTAAACTTCTTTCGCTTGCATTTTTAAATTTGAATATGAATGTTATTGTCTGATATTAATCACTAACCTAATATTTTTATGTACCCATATTTCCATGTGGTAGCGGAAAATGAGATGAATCCTATGTATCCAGAACTCTATCAGTATGCATCAGAAAACGGTCAGCACTGCTTGTGAAAAAAATCATTACCGTTAACAATTTTATGGGATTTTCTATTCGGCAGCATAACGTATAACGTTGCAGCACGATACCGAATAAAGTTCAACTTTCAGAAAACAGAAAAGGAAATACCTAACAGGTATCTCATGAGCATAGAATCGCAGCGCATATTGCAATAAATCACGAGTTTCTTTTTGAGATGGATCAACAATAAAAATCTGAAAAAAAACTTTAGCCCTGACTTTATTATCTAAAGAAAAAAAATACGAGAACAAAAGAAAATACCTACTAGAATAATTATTAAACAAGTATACTTCAATGGGAAAAAGATATACTAAAGTAATTTATATTTTATCGATACTATATCATAAAGACTAATAGATCTACAAAGCAAACCAACATCGTAACTTAAGATTTTGAAATTAAAAATGCCTTTAAAAAATATATTGTTTTCGATCTTCCAAAAACATCAGTAAAATTTTTTCTCCTTATAGAGGAGTACTGTCTCAATGTGCTGGTTTATCATTACTGGATATTAACAGAAGTCGGTTGTCGAACGTAAAAAATTACCAAAGTAAATAAATTCCTCGCAATTGGTCGAAGCATTCCAGGAAAATAGGGTTGCAATAGCAAACTTACACTGTTTGCCCACTGTCGATATTGTTTATCGGTATCCAAATTATTGAGATACTGAAGGGGAGAAATTTTTCATTAAATTTCAATGATTTAGGACAGAAATTAATTGTTAGCAAAAACTGAACTGAAAATGCAAATGTTTTTAAAATTTAACCAACTTTCAGTTTTCGAAATTTCATAAATTGATCATCTGATTTTATTCTTAAACATAAAGCTATCTTGTGCACTGCAAGATCTTAACTGCCCAATTTACCTCCGGGGATGCTGGTCTGAAATCCAATGCATATGATATACGTTCGTTGCTTAATTCGAGGTCCATTAGCATGGGAAGGTATTCATTCTAGAATGGAGTACTTATTTTTAAAGTTTCTACAAAATCTGCGAGAAGTTGTTATACAGATTAAGAAATTAGATTATATGTTTATTATCTTCATCATGGTACCATGCAAATGATATCTAGTATTTCAGTCATAAAAATTTTTTAAAATAACTACCACTAAATTGAATATGAAAACTGCAATTTAATACTTCCGCCACCTCTCGAAACCTGTTAACCTTAATTCCCATACGGAAAAATCCATTTGCCAATTTTTCCTCTTGCTTCAACACGTCAAGCACTTGGAACACATCCAGGGCATCAACATCCACCATGATACCATTGATTAAAAAAACTGATTCACCTTCCGATACGCCATACTCCATAAACTGCTCCTGATTTGCATTAACCTTTAATTACCTTTTTTATAAAAGGAGCTAGCGTATTTTCTTCTTTTTTGATTAAAGAAGCAAGAGAAAACTTTTCAACAAAAGAACAACACTGGCATACATATGATCTGCAATATATTTGATTTTTGCATTTGGAACCACCTCAGATATGAATTCTTTCCGCACAATTTGTCGTGATAGTGATCGAGCAGCAAGCGGGAAATTCTGGCTAGAATCCATCATGATATTAAGTGCTTTCTGTGGACCAGCTTGAACAATTCTCTGAGCAGCCTGATAGCTAAGTTCCTGTACCTGCCATACTTTCAACGGTGTAAGCTCATCACGTTCTAGTAAATGCAACCGAAACTGTTCAATTGATTCCTTCAAATCACCATGCAACCTTCTGCAATTAAAGACTCCATGAAATATTTGTCTCATTCCTGAAACCACTTAATTCTCGCTGTAAAAGTTAGTAAATATTATTGAACCTATATCATTTATAATTTTGAATCTTATTAATAAGATTAATAACATTAAAAAATGTTACTAATTAGCAACGTTTTACAGGCACTCATTAAGAGTGCTTTTCATAAATCATTTTTGTCAGCCTAGCACATTTAAGCATGTGAAACATGTTCCGATTAAATAAATTTTGAAAATTTCTCAAGGCTTTGAAAAAACACAACATCTACCGCAATGTACCGAAACTGAATCCAAAGTTATCTTCTTCGTTATCCGTATATTCTTCTGAATTTTCCTCCATTGCTACTTTATCTGCAAAAGCATTGTTTCTGGCTTTCTATCTTGAGAATAGATTGTAAACAAAACCGAGCTAAAAAGTTGTACAAAAAATCATTAACTCACCAATTACAGTACTGCTATCATCAACCGCTTTGTACTCCGTGCTTTTAATAGCTAATTCAACGCCGTAACCCGACAATAAAAGCTTATCGTCACGAATATCCTAAAGATTGGATTTGTATACAGTAAATTATCGAAAGAAACGCTAGTGCTTTCTTATTTTAATAGCATATATGACAGGAACTACAGAAAATACTATGCTCACTTTAGTAATAATTCAATGTTGACTTAAGTAAAGCATACTATTCAAAAACTTACTTTCACAAAATGCCGAAGAACATATTTGACTTTGCCGCTTCTCGACAATGCTTTTGCAGCTAAATGAAACTTTCTCCACGATGCAGTGGCCAATTCACCATATACAATTAAGGTAACATTATGTTCTTTAGTTGCAGGAAATACATGATCAATAGAATATACTGTTGGTGCAGGACCTCTGAAAATATACTACTGAAATGGAATATGTAGGTGACAATGGTGAATGTCTCTATTATTTGTGAATAGTTGATCATACAAAAAAAGAAAAACATACCTCACATCATTTTCGATAACCTTTTCTAAATCATTTACATTACATATTATAGTACCATGAACATCAGCAAACGCAGCACACGTTTTCGTCCTTTCAGCACCTAACTGAAACAAAAGAATAAACATGAAAGTATTAAAAATATGTTACTAAGTAAAAGAAAAGGCATGTTTTTCTTCATATATATAATATTCCCTTTTTTGGCCAATCTAATCTTTCAAAAAATGAAGTATGCATCATATAGCTGAGGCAGGAATTAACATTAATATGATTTCTTTTTCAAAAATGTATAAATATCTGAAAAAATCTAAAGCAAAGAAGAAAATTCTAACGGTCTGAAAAAGTAACACAGTTGGTGAATGCGCTCGTAAAGACAACGCGAATTTTAAAAGATTCACACGAGCTTCCTGTAACAAAGAGCCTGCTAAGCGCACAGATAAATCGTGCTGTCTAGCATCACTATCTGAAACTTAATTCTTAGTTTTGAGTAAAAAAGCTTTATAAATCATTTCCGAAATTTATTAACCATCAATATACCACCAAAGTGACTTACATACCAAAGTTTGAAATGGATGGGAATCTATTTGGAATAATTATTACTATTTAAATCTCGAAATCTATAAAAACTACTACTACTACTGTCCAATTTTTGTCCAAATTAAAATTAAAAAAGCAAGTGAGACGGTAAAATCAATCTCGTGGATTCAATCAAACAGTTCAAGGATTGATGCCGTCAATAGTCATACATGACTGAAATAACATAACATCGGCGGACACACTAGATTTATCATAGTAAGTCTAACCAATTGAACATTCACTAAGCAATGGACTTAATGCTTCCATACAAACACAGCGCTTATATTTGCTTTGGTTAAAAGATTTATTAAAATTCTTTCACGCCTTATTAAATTATTTAAACACTCAACAACTTACATGTATGCCATTCGTCAACATTGAGTTTCTCAACAATTTTATCTATATAAGCCCAGAATAAACTGTCACTTTCTTGAGCCATAAATTCACTGCAAATTACAATACATAAGAAAAAATAAATTATAATACATAAGAAAAAGAAAAGTTGGGAATGGTCATTCCTCAAATTTCTTGAAATTCGACAGAACTAATGTCAAAAAGAAATACTGCTTCGCCTACCAACATCTATTTGCTTTGCATTTATTAATTTTAATTATGAAATTAACCCCAAAACAATGTCTTAATTTATCTTATTTCGCTATTGCGAATATTGCGTTCTCGAAAAAAATGAATAGAATTTTTTGATTTCTGACATACCTGGCTTCCGCAATAAGTGAAGTCTGCGACCATTTTGCACGTAGTGATACGATAACCGATTTTTTGCTCACTGCAGAATTAATCACGCTAGGAAATGCTAATAGGATAATAACCAGCAGTAGGCTTTCCATACCCTTCTCTAAAACATATCACTCTTTACTGTTTATATACTAAAACATTTACGAAGTGATGGATCTAAACAGTCGGTTATGCAACCTAAATGAATGATTTTTCTCACTAAACAGTTATCATAAATTTATCAATTTAGATACAATCCATTTATGACTAAATCTGAATCCTACGTTGTTCAAAACAGCCAGTAATATGATGGAAAGTTATCAATACGGAAAACTTAGAATAAAGCCCGCAACTGCAAACAAAAACGACTGTTTGATAATTCAATAAGTTGTAAACCGAAAAAAAAGATTTAAAATCTAGTAAATCTAATTAAGAAATGATAAAAAACAGACTCAACATCACTCGAAAAACATATTTCCTCACTCTTTTTTGAACATAATCAATTAGAATAATATTAGTTTAGAAAAGATTTTTAAAATGATGAGAAATTGAGATCGAACGAGTAGAAAACGAAAAGTGAACATAAATATAATACTCCTGAATTCAATCAAGTCACTGCTAACAGCTTGCGAATAGTTTTCTCAGTTTTAAATAGCCCATTTCTTCTCATTCATTCAAAAACATTTTTATGTGTTATTTCTTGATAAGCGCAGTAACATACTAGAATTTTTTTAACCTTTCCCAATAAAATATCAAGAAATTGACTAACCGTAATAGCCTAGTACATTTAGAAATAATTGCTATAAATAAAATCATTGTTAAAACTTCTACCATTACTATGAAAATTATAATTCAAAAGTATCACAATTTTTCGAGTTCCTCTCTCTATAAAAATTAACAGTATTGTATTAATCTTGAAAACCCTGTAGAGCAGTTATTACCGAAAGACAGTTGCAAGAATTCAAACTCGAATAGTTTACACTGATAGAAAGCTATCTTCAGTTTATTCTTGTTAACATTTTCCATCACCGCAACATTTGCTATGGCGACTGTCAAATATTAGCATATATTAAGAAACAAATGATGTTACATCAGTATTAGATATCATGCTAATCGTTAATCGTCAATCACGTTAACCACGTGAACTTAATCGCTAATCACGCGCATTACAATCATTCCCGCCTCCAACAACAAAGCATGTCCGAACGAAACAGTGATTTATCTATTTTCAACGCAGTCTTAATGAAAATTATCAAACCCACCGATCTGTGTGTCATTCCCACAAAGCTGGTTCGCTGATAGGTGATTTAGATAATTAATTTTTCAATCATCTTCAATAAATTTAATATCACATTTTCTGGCAGATATATCACAATATGATACTTAAATAAACACTTTTATGAAACCCTTGTGATATTTAAATAAACACTCTGAAAGTTATTTCCAAAAATTTTATCATCGGGTTTTAATGGTGTTGATGTTGATGATTAGGGTTGTCAACACAACGGCTACCTGCTGACCTAACCATAATTAAAGAATCTTTTTCGAAAGTCGTCCCAACATCTAACTTTCAGAAATGACAAACTACGACACAATCGAGATACTGAACCGAATCCCTGAACATATGAACACGCTATTGGAGCAACTTGAACAATTGAGATCAAAGTTCGCTAACCCTATCAATTAATTTACATGAAAACATAATGTTTCTGCGGAAAGTGAATGTTACTATATTAATCTAAAAATGAAAAAATTCAAATAATTGAAATGGCACTCTCTCAATTCTTTCCATTTAGATTAAACACAATTATGATTTAATATTGAACAACTTAATTTGCAAAATTCCCCCTCAATTTTTTTTCATGAATATATTAAATCTTTCAAATGAAGAAAATGTTTATTAAAAAAAGAACAAAATTTGGCAATACCGATGAGAGTATACACAATGTATTATATTTACAATTTTAATTCTTGATTCATACAAGCAGAGAATATTTTTACTGGTTAAGAAAGGTTAAATCATAAATCAAATGAATGGTCTGCTAATTTCATTAATGGCGAGAACAAGAATGCTACTGATCATAAAGCCTTTGGTTCGTATTATCAAATTAAGATAGTCTAGTAGCCTGAGCTTATGCAAATCTTCAATATTGATTGACCTTAATATCGGTTTTGCATGAATGTCGTAAATGCGATGTATAACTATGAATGCTATTGTGATTGATTAAAATTCTTTTGAAATGCACTACAATCTCACTGGACATTTATTAGAGGTGACTATAAATGATACTATTCTGTTTATATCTCGAAAATGAATTATCATTTTTGAAAAAAGAGACATTATGATTCTCATTTGCCATGTTTATAATAGGGTTTTTAAATGTCACTAAAAAATAATGAATGCTCATATTTCTTCCCACTGGAGAGAACCCTTTTTGTATTTGTTGTTATAGTTTTATCTTCTGTTTACAAAGACAAGATGAACAAATAAATTAAAATATGAAAAAAAAAACCTTTCGGTAACTTCAAAAATGTCAATCTAAATATCGTTTAACAATGGTTAATATTACAATACTAATTAAACATTATTGTAAATTGGCTGCAGTTTCACGTCCATCCAAATTGCCTTTATTATTGCCAAATCTAAATATATGGCGCATTGGATTCAACAATTTCCAGAAGAATTTTTTGGAATAATTAGCTGACATCATTTCTTCAGTAACATCAACTTGCATGCTTGTAGTCTAAAAATAATCTTGCATTATTTTTTTTCTCCCTTTTTTGCTATTCAGAAATTAGCTATGAAATGTATTAACTTATTTATTATCGATATCCTTCTAAGGATAAGGGATAAGTTCTCAGAAATCGACACGTAAATAAAATAATATATTTTATAGCCAAATATGTAAAGAGAAAAAAGAGTTTTTGTTCCTGAGTGAGGCAACACTTAAAATTAACCTTTGGTACGGGATCGGCAATACGTGCAATGTAGAGCGGTATATTTCTACTATTGTCCCAAATGATGACAAGAAAAGGCATATCAAGGATGGACATTTTGTCAACAGATGATGGGATTTGCTTCACCACCCTGTAATTTACTCTTTATAAACGAAAGTTTAAAATCTCAAAAGTAGATAAATTTTCAAGCATAATTAAAACTTTATTCGAGACGAACTTTGATGTAAAGTTAATATTTTGAAAGGATTACTAATATATAATTATTTACTCAATTTCATCAGGACCAGGAGTGTGCATAACTTCTAGACGGTCAATATTTTGTATACTTGTAGTTAAGCGTGGCCCAACGATATAGGATGGTTCATGTTCTAATGTTCCTAAGTCACCGAATCCGTCAGGCTGGAATAACTTGTCGATGTGCGGTATTGTCTTACACAACGCATCAGCAAGATTAGTTGTTCTGTTGGGTAATCCATGAAAGAGTGGGACGTATAGTTCATGAAGAATTTTGACCGATTCCTGCGAAACAAAAAGCATATTAGAATTGCTTACATTTTAAAAATTTGACATTTGCAAACTGAAATAAACACAATATCGTCATAAGAGAAGAAAGAGGAACAGTGATGGCAGCAACATTGTATATTTTTCTTTCCTTTTTTCCGGATCCAAAAATCTGAGAATGTGTGTGTGTTTAAAATACATACCGTTTCTGTGCCACTTCTCATGAATGTTATCATATTTATAAGCGAATTAGGATCTTTTGCCATATCTGAATCATCCGCATTTGATATACAATAGGCAGCAATGTCATCAGAATATGTTGGCAATGTGATAAGTAAACTTTTTTGAACTTGCAAACAACGAAATGGTGGGAAATCGCGACACGAATATCGGCAAGCTAACACTTCTTTCAGCTTTTTACCCTAAAAAATTAAACATAAAATATTTTAAGCCAATTTAAGTCTGAATTTGAACAAAAAGGAAAGAAATTTTTTCAAGATTTCGATAATAATATAATAAACAAATTCGTAGAAAATTAAATTTTAACATTGTGAAAACAAAAGAATTACTTTATATAAATGTAAAAATATTACAAAACAGATAAGAAAATAAAATAAATACGTCGTAGATAGCATTTTCCTTTTAGATTGAAATTTTTTAAACATTCGATATAAAATTAAACTAGTAAATTTTCCGCTGCAAATTGAACAATTTGTAGAAATTTGATTAAAACCCACACTTTAGAGATTTCTTCAGGTTACCTTAAATGTTGTGTAAAATATATTATGTGTATCGAGAATATTAGTGGACATTGGAATATAAAAGTGCGATGCAAGAATAAGTATTGGACATTTCTGGTTGTTTAACTCTTGAACATCTGATGCTTTCGTTTCAGCTTTTTTCCATAAAAAAATTGGACAGCGTGCTTCTCCTTCTTCAGTCTGAAACGAATAATGAATTATTGCAGAACTTCATAGAAGTATTTGAATTACTTGAATTTAACTTCTCTATATTTATATCAATTTTCTGTTTTTTAAAAAATTTTCTTCGGCATTTATGCCGCTTCTAAAAAAGCGTTATATTTTTACAGTTTATTGGGACTTGAAAAATTCAATAAACTGTAAAAATATAACGTTCAGAACACGTGAAATTCTAGATATACACGTACATTTTACATATTCCACTCCCTCATAAAGTAATTTTATTTTTGTACATTTTAGGTATAAATATCAAATCTCTTTAATAAAAACATCATTAATGCTACATGTATACTTTAATTTACCTTGCATGTCCTTCGAAGCCATGCTACTAACTCCGCGCGTCCTGTTTTCTCATCGTAGATTTTAAGCTCAATCCCGAGATATTTCAGTGCCATAAATGTTTCAAAACCGTAACTTTTGGTATGTAATGGATGTATTAACAAACGCCGATTCCAGTTGAAACTTCCTAAATCAAACTATCAAAATAATTTTAGCGATATTTAGATTTCTGCAATTAAGTGCTTGCTGATAGGTATAATATGTAAAATGAAATTATTGTCACTGATTTTCAAAGGGATTTTTTAACACTTTTAGAATCTTCAATTTAATATCATTGAACTTTAATATGAGCCTAATTTGCTCCAAATATTTATTAATATAATATCGTATTTTTATGTTCTAATTTCTCCATTTTCAATCTGTTATTAATTTTGTATAATAGCTACCAGGTTTAACAGCAGCTTCAACAAATAATTCCCAATTTCGAATATATTCTGCCACTCGTACTAACTGATGTGGTAATGTTGCTGTACTATTTAAATGAAGAAATTCCGATAATGATAAACGACTTTGATGCTCAGCAATCTAAACTTTAACAAAAATGAACAAGAAGAGACATTTCATTGAAAATCCAACTTGGAATTAATAAAATAAAAAGATAACGCTTTCATCATAGCCAAATTGCGTAATGATTCGATTGCATTTTAAATAATGAAGTGGAATATGACACAGAGGACATCCTGTCAGTGCTATTATCCGAATGTTTCACTTTTCTAAATGGTAAAATATGAATGAAATTGTTAGATTTATTTGGGATGGCAAGTTATAGATACTTCAAAGCTTCTATATGCGGAAATCATTTCCTTTTATCTTCTCCCTCCAGTAGTTAGCTATCGAAATCGACATGCGTAAGTTCCGGTAATTTAGAAAACGGTGCCTTTTAAATTCTGATTTTTATTATTTTTGCAAACACGAAAGTCATAGCTTCCGCTGATAAAAATGTTGAGATAAGTTATTAGATGATATTTTTAATTCGTATCATCACAAACACACCAGTTTTTTTAGTGAATTCAAGCGGTTCAATTAAAAATCATAATTAATCTAATCAGGCTACTCATTTTTAATTTTACAATCCATGATGAGTTTATCAATCGTGCATCAATATTAGAACATTGACCTTACAGTACAGCGTCATTTTAAGCGGTATTATTACCTTTCAAGATATGCTCAAATCTTACCTATCATTCTTCCTCTTTGCTACATTTATAAAAATATTACCTCACAAAGGAAAGCAATTAATGCGATCAATTGTGGAACGCAAATAATATCATTACGTTCTCCTCGATCATTTGTGATTGATCTATAAATAAAGAATTTCATGGAATAGAATTCAAAATTTTTGCGAAAACTTTTTTGTTACGGGGAAGGAATGGAGTTATTTTCAGTAAGAGATGAAATATTGATGTGGCAAATGCAAATTTTGTACATACTGAAATGCAGGAAATATCAGAAATTGTTATTTAAATGTGCTGTGTATGATTTTGCATGAAAATATCCTGTTAAATTTTTGCGCAAAATTTAAGAGCTCTTTCGAAATGTAAAAAATCATGTAAAATATTCCCATCAAGAAAAAAGTGAACTTAAAGCACCATAGCAAAACGTGCAAGAATATTCGAAAAGCTGTATTTGCCCACAAATCGAGACTTGATGTTTTGATCAATTGCGCATCTTTCATCTCACTTCAACACTTCCTTTCTCCAACGTGTATTCAATTCCTTCCTTTTAACTTTCCTTCGGAAACTTTTCTAAAGAAACTGAAATCTAACCGGTCTCTTTTAATTAGCATTTAAATAATGCTTCGTTAGAATTTCTTTCACATTTTCTTCCAATCTAGTTTGTCCGCTGTAGTAAAATATGTTACATTTTGAATTAAATAAAACAAAAAATTGAAATCAAATGATTTTTGAAGAACACATCTCATTATTTATCAAAGTGAAAGAAACTTCCATCATTTCTATGCTTATCGAAAAATGAAAAAATTGTTTTAAAAAAACCAAGAATATTGCTCACTCTGAGAACTGAAAAGATATTGAAAATTAAAAAACAAGACCGGCAGTAATCTAAGAATTGAAATTGCAACGACTTTCAAACTTATAGAATGTATAGAATGTGCTTCGCAAAAAAAGGAAAAAAAAATATTTCAAAATCTTTTTCTTCACAAAATTTGTCATTTGTCAATGACTCAGCTATATGACAATAATAAATAAGCGATTTAATGATTAGTCAGCGATGCAGAAAATTTGAATTTATATGCTTCATTTTAACATAAATTTGAAATTTGATATCATCGGCCAATAATAGATATAAACAGGATATAAACAAAGATAAACAAAACCATTTCTCCTCTCCATTATTTCACTTTTTTCGGCATGTCACAGGTGGAGATTTTCGAAATCTAAATCATTTAGACATTCAATACTCACCCACTAAAATTCTTTTCCTTTTGACACTTTGAAAAATACCGAACTGAAATGACCCTCAACCACGTTAACTAAAACGATTGAATACTTCTTCTGAAGCCACACTTTGTTTGTAAAGTTCACAGGAACTATTCCGTCCCACCACGAAATAACCATTTATAAATGTAATCAAAAATTTGCATGCAGTTCTAATTTGCATCACATTATGAATGGGAATCAAAGGATGATGCTGGGTGGCATGATTTGTTTCAGGTAATTGTGTCGAGCGGGTCCGAGAACTCTCAGGTATTTAGCTAGAAATGTGAGCATACAAAAAAGAGGAGAAATTAAAATGGAAGTTAAGGAATAGAGGAAATTTCGAAATTTTCAAAATGTTTGTAGCGATGGTTGCCAAAAACTGACGTAATATTGTGGGTCTTTTTCCGGTCCATACAAAAGCTGTAGTATAAATTCACTGTTAAAAAAAGTTTCTACATTTTTTTCCTCAATGTTCAAAAATTTGCATAATTACCACAAACATCTACACACAAGTGTAAACTTATTTAAATTAAAAATTCTCTGAACATACTTTCTTGTAATCTTCGCTTTTTTTGGACAGAAAAAATAAAAAAGAATGAATATTCAATTTAAACTCTCAAATAATCTGGCATAAAACTTATGTTTGCATTTCTCGACTATTATTGGAAGTTTGATCTTTTGTGCGAGCACGAATTTAGATAACAAAATTGATAATATGTTTCAGTGGCGAAAATAAGTTAAGCCCAACATCAGAGATGCAAACTGCTGAAGTTCTTTTTTCCTTCCAACAATCTTTCGGATTGCAAATTTATCGACTATTGTGAAATACGTAAATGTTTGAATGCTTTCATTGAAAAGAAGTTATTGCTCATTTATTTACAATATAAGCATTAGTGAGTACTCCAAAGAAATAACAAGCATTCCAAATAATAAAAATTAAATTTCAAAAAAAGATTTTATAACAAAGTATAATATTAGTTAAATGAATAGCAATACCCAAATAGATTTTAAAAATCTAATTTTTGAAGATATTTTTCAAACTTTCACCATTTTCGAAAGTCTCTCACTTTAATGAATGTAGTACATATTTCACATCAAGAAGTAAAATTTAATCGTTTAAAGAGAAAAATTTTTCTATAAAAAACTGTAATTGAAACACACTATCACTAGATTAGATTTACCTTATTGATATCTGTCATGATCTAGCATAAAAATATTAAAAAAATATATCTGCTATTGAAACATACTATCCAACAGTTGGCAAAATTATATCAAATATATTGAAATTTAACAAAATAAATTCTAAATAAAAACTTCTATTAAGATATATCAAACTTGAAAGTCAAGAGCGGCAAGGACATTACCAACAAGATGCAAACTCCCTGTCACCAAAACAATAACTTCATTTTTTGCAGCTCCCAGTTTTTCAATTCTCTCCACTGCCTTTTGGACACAATCAAATTCTTCAGCTGTCGAATCCTGAAAATGAGTGAAAAATATGCGAAATTAAGAAGCTTAGAACTCATTATATATATAATGCTTATGAAGAAAAACCACTGAAAGGACAGAATATTAAATGCTATAATAAAATAATATAAAAAAGACTAAAATGAATACAAATAAATTACTGATCAGCAATAAGTGAAAGCAAACGTTTGTAAGTGATAAAAGAATTGAAGAATACAAACATCAAAGCCAAAATTTCTCCACAGAGTGGCATGATTTGCGACTTTGGCCAACTGTCCATGATCTGAATGAGTGTAATCGGCTTGATCAGAATGCTGATCCATCACAGGACTTAATCGAGATGGACAAAATAATGCCAAATTGAAATTACATTTCTGTAATAAAAATACTCTTAAAATTCTTCATCACACTAAAATTACACATACTGAATTAACTATGATAATGTGCGCGAAAAGTGTGACAACAAAAGTATAAACTATTCATTTTTTTTAATGCCTCTTTATCTTTGATGTTTTAATTTATGTTTGTGAAAACCTCCTATAAAATATAATCTTTTACTTTTCTATCGTTGCATTGGATATTTCATACGATTAAATCTTTGAATAAAGAATATTTTGAAATTAACTTTCGAAAACAACGAACATTTTCCAAGACAATGGAAGTGGGTGGGGTTTAACGAATTGAAACAAAAGACAAGTAGCTAAAAACAAATGAACCTGACAAATTCTTTATTTTGTTACATAACTACTTCTCAATCGTGTTAAGAAATAATGATAAAATTCCAAAAAACTACGTTTAATTCTAATAGAAACGCAGCAGAGTCCCTGGTGCCTGTGCAGTGAAATAGCAATATCTGAAATGGATCACATTTCCATGATCTCTTCGCTTCGTGTTTTTCGTTCAAAAACCATTTCATGCAACACTGAAATAATAAACAGAGAAAGAGTAACAAGCTAACATTTTTTCCAGCACTTTTCAATGATTTTGATTCCTATTTCTGAATTAGTAACCAGTGAAGAGCATTTTAAACGTAAATTTCGTGGAATCAACAAAAAGTCTACTACTTTCATCCAAATACAAAATCCACTACTTTCATCTCGAGAGATGTTAAATTTAATGCAACAGAAAATAGGACAACTAACTTCCAAACTTTTCGGTGTGTGTGCTCCATCAAGGTAATATGTTATCGATCCACGCTTGATTATTTGACTTCTACCTCGCCATCGGCATAACCGAATACCATCTAGAAATTTCTGCGGTACAACAAACCCAGGCAATACTTCTGAATTTGATAACTGGGTATTCTTGAACAAATCAGCTGAAAACTATTAAATCTAACAATATGAAAATATAATTAATGTTAAACCGTATTAAATAGTAATTTTGAAAATCTGGTACTTCGTCAGTTTTGTAATTAAGCTTAAAGGAATTTCCAATCGACTGATAATAGCTAAATTTTTAATGATTAGGGTCGGAGTCTTAGATATCATCAGCATTGCAAATAGACTACATATCTGACTTACTAAATTTGCAAACTTTTTCTAGCCAGAGTTTGACCAATTGAAATGCAAGTGTTATATTCAATTGTTGATGAATACCAGATATACCATATTCAACGTTACTAATTGGCCAACCATATGCACTGAATGATGGAGCTATTTGCATAAGACACTAAAAATTTTTATTTAACTTCGATATGTTTATCGATAGTCTTTTGGATAACGTGTAAACAACGAGAGATTTTCACTATGACATTTCTGATCAACAAGAGCAACTATCCTTATTCAAAAAAATCAAGAGAGTATAATTTCAAGAAAGGATCATTAAGAATTGTAGCACATGGTTATTGACAAGTAATGTTTCTAATACTTTAGAAACTTTAATTTTCAAATTCGATTCAAAAACAAACATTTTTAAAAGCTGCTCGTTCCCTTAACACTTGCATTGCTGCATTAGGTTGTTCAGAAACGACAGCTATACCACCATTTTTGAAAATACCTGCCTTATGCCATGCAATTGATTCAATTGTCGAACCAAGCATTTCTACATGATCATAGTCCAAAGTAGTTACACCGCAGACTACAGGATTTCTGTAATGGTTATGCACTTCAAACTTTTTTTTGTTTGAATAATTGAATGATAAACACGTCCTCAATTCAATAGAACTCACTTACTGAATAATATTGGTACAGTCATACTCACCACCAATGCCAACTTCTACAATTGCAACATCGACTTTTTCCTTGATAAAAACGTGAAATGCCATTACTGTGAGAAATTTAAAATATGAAGGCATCATTGCAGTTTTATCTGATTTCTAAAAATCACAGGAAAGTATAAGAGCTTTTATAAGCAAACCAGGTCCCTGTTTTCTTCTATTCAATACCGAAAGATATTCTATTCATCTCGTCAAATCAGAGAATCACATAAATCCCAAGTTGCAAATATCTCACGGTTATAGAAATGATAACGATTTGATAGTGCAAACAATATAGCATGGATATTACTAAAGAGTCAAGTATAGAATATTTTGGCAATTTGGACACAGCAATCGAAAGATAAGTGACGCAAGAAATCATTGAAGAGATACGGGCCAGAAATAGCGCTAGAATGTTCTATTTTTCATTAATATTGAGATCAACCGCACTGATGTCTAAATGGGCGCACAAGAGGAATACGATAGGCAGATTATCGTGTGCATCAAGGCAACATTTAAATTAAAAAATACCGAAGAAAAACAACTGGTATGAAGAATCGATATGAAAAGTATGCTGTCTATATGTACCTCGACTGCTTTTTTTAAGGAGTTATAAATATGTTCGAAATATTTAACAAAATCTTCCTCCAATAATGGATCACCATTAATTCTGATGCGTTCACGAACATTTACAAGATGTGGAGAACTGTAAAAAAATTGAAATCCAATATATTAATGTGAATTTGAACACAGACTTTTAGTTGACTTCTGTCTTATGTCTTGCTTCAGTCATATATCAATCCTTTTTATAGAAATACAGCATAAACAATCATGACGCTGGACTGATTATTTTGTGTCTAATTTTTAGAAAAGAATCATGTTTATTATCTTCAAATCTATTTATGGAACTATGTTAAACAGAGCTCTTTGTCATGAACCTTTTCTATTTCAGTCCAATATTAATCAACGGATTATATACACTATTGGTACTAAACAGCTGCATCATAACTGAGAAGTTATGAAATTCATCGGACCAATGGTCATTTATATGTCCGACTTGTTTTAATTACTAAATTTTTTATTTGCCAGTATATGAAAAGAAACTCAAATTTTGAAATTATTCATCCAGATGCATAATAATTCTAACATCATAATACAATAGCATATGTCAATAAAATGAAATAATTCATAACTCACCTATAGAAACCAGTTTTGAATCCAAGTTGTCGTAGAATTGATTCAGTGAATGCACACGTCGAGCCTTTACCTTTCGTGCCACTCACGTGTATTACGTTCAATCTGTCAATTTCTTCAAGCTAAAATTGAAAAGTAGAAAAATATCAAAATATTATCTAAAGATATTTCACGAGTTACATTGTAATATTAAAAGCAAACTTGTGAAATATGAAGGAAACATATTTCACAAGTTAATGAAGGAAACATATTTCACAAGTTTTAGAAATACAAATTTTTGATAGGACAAAATTTCATAAAACTATTCTAAACAGCACTTTCTTCTTTCTTCCCAACAAAGAATTAAATCTGCTTAAAGATAAATCAAATTAAATCTTCCTAAGAATCATTTTTTAAATCCACAATATGCATTCTTCAAGACTAAAATAAAAAAAAATTTTACTTTAATGTTGCACTTATCGAGACACCATTTTGTCATGACATGATTTACATTAGGTGTTTGGCCATGTTCATTTAGCAATTTTCGAATTGTCGCTGCATTATTTTGTAAACCATTCAAACGTGCTACTGATTCCTGCAGTGCAGAAAGTCATTGAAAGCCGCAACTGTCAAGAAGAATTCTTCAGATTTTTATCAGTCTAATTCAAACAAAAAATTTACTTCTCTTTCACGCTGAAAAACAGTTAAGATCTATGATAACTAAATTTCAAAGGAATTAATTCATCGGTTTCATAAAATGCTGTTTGTGATATAGCTGTCAAGTCTTGAGTAATAAGTTTATAGTTTTAAGTGAAATTTACATGCAGTAATGCAGTAATTATGATCAGACGATTAAAATACGATTTGTGAAATTCTGTGAAATTTCAAGAAATTTGTTAACAAGAAATTTGTTAGCAGAATTTAAAATTCAAATTGGTGTAAATCTTAAATCGGTGTAAATCTCGATGTAAATTTCAGCTAACGATATAAACCTTTAAATAATGCAATTTCTGCTATCATTGTATTACCTTGAACCATCTTTATAGATAACATTCTATCGATGAAAAATTAATTACAATACAAGTGGTACTCTCTTTTAGATTTAATTATAACTAAAGCTATAGTTTGAAAATGAAAACTCAACCTTGTAAGATGTCGACATTTTTGAAATAGATTCTGGCGCCACAGTATCCAATAACCGCCAAAGGTTTATTGTTGAAGAAGAATAGAAAAAACCGGTTCTTCCAATCAAAATGTATTCACAACAACGAAGAAGCAGTGATCTCTGTAAGTGAACCCAGAGATGGTCGTTATTTTCGTAATAGAAGACCTTCCTTCCTTTCTTCGCCTTTCTCTTTTTCCATAAGTAAAACGATTTCATATCGTGTCATTATTAATTTCATCATTTAAATTTGAACTCATTTAATAATAATAAAACTTACGTAGAGAAGGTGAAAAAGACAAAAAATTTGTTTACAATTTTTCATTCTACTTCATAAATATGTTACTTTTTACCATTTGATACTGTTAACCTTAGATTAGTGTAAGTACGGCAGACAATTAATTAAAGAAATTAATTAAAGATTAATTGAAGAATTAAAATAGTGCAAGGAATGGAATTAATTGTCAAAAATGTAACAAAATATTTTCTGCATATGCCAAACAAACGATTTTTCATTTCTTGAAAAATAGTCAGCTGACTACGGCATAATAAAATACGAAATGAGGCTCAGAAAATTACAAAATATATCTATCGTCTTCCATAACAGCGATGCTATGAAAACTGTATTCAGCTGTATTGACAAACTTATATTATGTTTTCAAAATAAAACAATATAAAATGCAAACTTCCACAAGTGCCTCCATTTGCGTCGCCTATGATACATTACTGAGAGAACACTGGTAAAAGCGCCATTTTACCAAAATTTTGCCTAAAACAAAGATCAGAAGGTAAAATAAGTAATTATGAAAACTAAAGAAGACAAGGAATATGAATGCCTTTGTTCAAAATCACCTTTTCCAGCTTCTTTTCCTGACAAAGCTTTTAGGGAGATTTATCAAAATGTCATAAGTAAAGTAATAATATACAAAAATTTCAAAAATAATAAGCGAAATATAAATGAGCGACAGCAGAAGATAGCGAATAAGTTATATTTTCTATTCTTAAAAATTACTCTTTTAATGAAGAAAGATATGCGAAAGAGGCATCCATGGATGACGAGGAAAAATTGTTGTTAAACATCCAAAAGTGTTTACGATCTATCATTCTGAATCCCATTTCGTTCACGCCTAAATTACGCTTTTTAGTAAAATTTTTTCAATAGCTCTCATCAATTATCCTTCTACGCCAGAAGAGAACAATGGTCTTTAACAGGAATTAAGGGAATCATATGAAATCCTTTGATCTTCAAGTTGTAACAATCCGTCTCCAGAAATAATTAATCTTGGAGCATTTGTTTCAAATAAAAATCCAAACAAATGTAGTTGTAGCGCAACGAAGAAAAATAATAATTGAACTTCTAATTCTTTCAATTAATGACAAAAAACACCAATAGTATATTTCATTCTAATTTCGAAATTCAAAAATTACAGGTCCATGAGACATTGTTTTGAGTTTTGGAAAATTTGTATTTTTAAGAGAAGCTAAAATTTGACACAACAAATTTATTTGGCAAAATTTACGACAAACATAAATGCAATATCAGACGACACCGAAAACAATAGGAACAGTTAGAAATCAACTTGAAAAGGAATAATTATTAAACAAGCTTGACTGAAAAGAATAAACAGAAATGAACGTCTGTCGGAAATGAATTCATTATTTTTCTGAAATGAATTCATCACTTTTCCCACTGATTCATTTACTTTTTTCCAGAAATAATTACGCATAACTTCCTCTTCTCTTATAACTGCCATGATGTCTGCAATTCCTTCAGAGTCATTAAACCATTTAAGCAAAAGTAACGTGGAAAACATATGATGAAATTATTTTCAACCAAAGGCTATTCGTACACAATAAACAAACACTTGAGACAATAATTTAGCTTGTTTACTAAATAAGTACTTAATCATTTAGTCTTTTTCAGATATTTTCCTGACTGCCAAAGGATTATGATTCTGCAAGAAATTCTAGTACCAAACAATTATTCTACTTGAAATTCGTTTTTCATAAACATTTCACTCAACAATACATTAAGTATTATCTCTTCTTGATATTCATAATAAAAAGAAATATTTTCTTACAAAATGATGAAAGAACTGGCTGGCTGCAAGAACAAAATTTCAACTTTTTCACTTTTTCTGGAAAAATGAACTGATTTTTGCTTGTCCTCGTGATACCTTAGTATTTCTTCGCTCTTTATTATCTAGGAATTTAGTATTCGTTGTTTTGCCACGCGTTTCACTTGATGTATTAGTTGATGACGGTTCAAGTTCAATTTCTTTCAATACTTGCTTTGTAACTGCAATTTAAAATAGGATTTGTAATCATAATTTGCGTTTCTAATTACATAACATTTTTTAACTCTACAATTTCAGATTTACATCAAATACATAGATGCAAAGGACATAATTCTCCCACACTACTCTTTAGAAAGCTTACCCATAAAACCATCAACATCCAAAAAAGTTTCGGTGACATATTCCTTTCGAATCACTTTTTTCCGGCTTCCGCAATCACTTCCATTTTTTAAACTGTCATTTCCTGCTATAATCAGTACACAACTTATAATCAGTGAAAAAATCAAAGATTATTTAAAAAGTCATCATTAAACATGTCACGTGCGTACTACCCTTCATTTATTTAAGATATTCATTATTGATATCTTTTTTTCTAAATCATCCGCTCCACTTGTTTCTAGTAAAACTTTTTTTATTGCAAAGAGAGCAAAAGTTATGTAATTTTTATAAAAGTTATGAAAATTGAAGGATTCGAAAGAAAACTAACAAAACTGAGGCAGTTTTTTCGGATCCACTATTTCTTCTGCAATTTCTTTTTTTCTGTTCCCCTCACAATCCATCTTGTCTGGATTTGAATCACCATCAGAAAATATGTCATCTTGTGCTAAAATCATTCATCTGTTCAATAGAACTGATACCATTATTAAACTTTAATAGAAATTTTCTTTCCCAAGCGATCAACAGTTTTAGTATAATCTTCGAAATATAAATTTTTCGAAATAGTGTCATTTTCAAAGTAGAAATCTAATCGCAACTTAATCTTTTAATTTCAAATTACCGAATTCCAGAAATCTCATAAACGTTATGGTGATGCTATGTATTTTGGCTTTTTTCATTGACACAAAACACATTATTCTTCTTTTTATAAAATAAAATTTTAATTCCAACTTAGAAGTGTATTTCTCGTTTCCACAATATCTTTCTTTTCCAAAGCCGTTATTTCTGTTGAATTTTCCGCAGAATTAGTTTTGTCGTTTACATCTTGTTCTTTGCTATCGATAACAATACGCTGCCCGCGATGTCTGCAATTTAAACTAAAATTAAAGGCTAGGAACTCTGATTCCCTATATACAAGAACAAAAATGGAAAATAGAATTAAAAAAACAGTATGTTCTTTTTTCTTTAATGCAACTATTTAAAAAGGAGAGAAGAAAAGTTGCAAAGAATCAATAAAATGTGAAAAACTAATGAAAAAAAAACTGAAAATCCTTACTTTATAGGTTCACCTAATAATATATTAGCTTTTTTGCCAACATTTCTTTGTTTCTCCTGCGAGACATTATCCATCGAAGGCTTAAAATATTTGGATAAAAGCAAGTTATCGTGATCACAGCTAATTCAAGCCTAAAAATTGCAAGCCTCTTCTTTTTTTGCTTATTTTATATAAATTTCGTTTCACACTGTTAGAAAAATGGCAATAAAAAAATGTCTAAATTTAACTACAAAGTCCGCTGCTTAAAAACTTACCGAAGGAAACAAAAAATATGTAATGTCACTCAAAAAATCATTTTCAACAAACAAATTTTATTGTAAAAATCTTATAATAAAATTAACTTTTACATTGGCTTTAATTTAAACAGAATGCAATTTAAAGCCTTTTTTTCAAAATATTATAATTTTTTGACCATTTGTCACTCGATATCAGCTAATTAAAGGTGAGACTTTAAGAATATTTCATATGTTAACTTAGCTCGATGATTCAATCTAATGAATTAAACAACTTAGATCTTTTCCTGAATTAATTTAGAATTTTTTAATTGTCTTCTTTTTTATTTTTTTCATTATTTTTTCATTATATTTTTCATTATGAATTAAACAACTTAGAACTTTTTTCACTATCTGCAGCGATCGATAGAATTAGGAAATATTAAGGTATAAGCTGACATCGCTGATCGTGATTAAAATTAATAAAAAACTGAAAAAACTTAACCTACCGTTTCTTCTTTATTTAGCTTTGCTGCTTGCATAAATAGAGAAGTTATATTATTTTTTGTTTTTTTAGCCATTGGTTCTGGAGACCTTGATGTAGATAACGACAAGTCCTTTTGTGTCCTTTTCTGAAATTGCTTATAACGGATCGCATTACTAGATGAAGGTAATGAAAATATGACATAAGGAACTAGATATATAAAGATTTAAATAATTTTAGATACAATAGAGCACTCATCTCTTCCTGACGAACTTTTTTTAAAAAAATAAAACATGAAGCAATTAATGTTTACTGTAATAATAGTTACAAAGGGCTTAGCCAAAAGATCTAGCCAAAACTTATTCAAATAAGTAGAATGCGTAATATTATATTTTTTTTCGGCCGTCTCTTACCTTTATTGATGTGTTTTTCAGCATAGTCGAATTAAGGTTGTCAACTGCTTCAAAATATTATTACTGTTAAGGCCAATTATCTTTTTGTCTCCTCGTATGTTGAGATTTTCTTTTTCAGTCAGTCTTTTAACTCAGCGATAAATTATGACAAACACAAGTCAGCACTAATTCTTATAAAATGCTCACTAATCAGAACTAGCTAAGTCAAATCATAATTCTCTTTTGTTCTCAAATAGTCAAATTGCCGAGGCGAAGAAAGAACTAACTTTTTTAACTTCATTGGCAGAAATAACACCATAATGCGCCAACATCTCTTCTGTTTTTGTTTTCGTTTCTGGATATGATAGCCAACTCCGTTCAGGATCAGTCCGCTCATATTCGGCGTCTTCCAAACCGTCTACGGAATACAACAGATAAAGACTCTGCAAATTTTCGTGCATTTTTATTGCTATTTTATTTTCTTTGAATAAGATACATTTTTTTCTTCAAAATATTTAGGATATGTACTGAAAAGAATGAAGTTATGAAATACATAGTTATGATATAAAATAGTTTTCCAGTTGAAGCTTTGAAAATTAAGAAGGAACTTCTATACAGGTTTTTATGCTGCAGTGACCTTAATGGGTTTCGTATGCAAAGCGTAAATTTCGCATGTTTCCACTTCCTTGTAAGTTTGACGAATCTCTTCTAAATCACAATCACGAACCAATTGCGTACGATAAAATTTACGATTAACTGTTGTATCATCTGCACTACTGCTACTAACAGAATCTGATATGTTGACCTCACCACTCAAAACGTACACTGCATGCAGTTCCGTTTTGTTTTTGTTCTGTTTTAGAAATTCAGTTAGTTCACTGAAAAAAGATGCATTTGATCATGTTATAATGAAATTTTGCACAAATAATGTCTGACTGAAGTTACTTTATATAGGAAAATAAAATAAGCAAGTTTAAGTAGTGCAGTAAAAGCAAAAGTTCGAAACCCCAATTATATTCAAGCAAAGAGACCTGATATATAAAACACAAGCAAAAGCAAAATTAAAGTACACTGAACACAGTTTTAAACAATGTACTGCTGACATCTAATTTCAATATTTGTGCTGTGAAAAACAAAAAGGTACTCTTTCGCATCATCGATCGATAAATCAGCATGCCTACTTAGATAGTGTACTGTCACGATTTGTTCCAGATCAAAAAGCGAAGTTTCCAATATCCGACGTCTATCCAAACCCATAATTGAATTTAATTGCAATTGCTAAATGCAATTAAATTGAACCAGTTCATTCTTTGACAGGAAAAACATCCTAACATCGAAGTTTATCCAAAGTTCAGAACGCGGTTCTTAGCTCTCTAGATACAATGGCGTGAATATGCACGCCGCTTGAGCGATAACTGAGTATATTAGGCAAAACTAATTACAAAATCGAACAACAAAATTTTATCATGTTTCTTAAACAAAAAAATAAATACATCTTTGTCAACGAGAAATAAGTTTCTCTATCACTAACAAAAAAACCAAGCATCGATAAAGAATGGAGGCAAATAAAAACTGAAATTATATAAAACCTTAAGGACTCCCTGTGTGATGAGTCAACATTTTTCATACATATGTTGAATTATCAAATAAAATAATTGAAAGAGCAAACAAATATACCAACAAAATTTCACTAACTCAAATTATATTAGATCAAACATCAAGCGCAACAATCACTGTGAGCAAAAAAAAGAAAAGTGTTAATCAGATTATTATAATTTCATTAAGGTGAAAGCAGACTTGGAAAAGATAGAAAAATAATACGTTCTTGACCAAATTCTTACAACCAAAAAATTCTTAACTTATCTATTAAATTATGTAAATCAATTTAATTAACCATGTATTTGACAGAAAATTACTATCCACTGAATTTCATAATTCCAGTAATTGAAAGCATCAGGCACAGCTTCCCCGCTTATTAACATGTTTAATAATATCAACCTGTTCAATTTGGTTTTGAAAAGAAAAATTCTTAACTGTATTTTCAACTACACAGAAGCGGGGAATTTTTAGTTCTTTTCACTCCGGTGATGTGAATTCAGTGTAAAACCGCAGTTAGACTAGAATTTTTCCTATAGAAATTAACTAGGATCAAAAATACATTTACAACAACTGACAGTAAACTCAATTAATAATACTGATTAACGAAAGGAAGGAGCTTCAATAAGGAACTTTGCACGTAAGCGACAATTATAAAGTACATTAAAAAAGTAAAAGGATTAAAACTCGAATTCATATAAAGGTGGGTGTAATCACTGGAAGCAAACTAATAGATATATTTCAGCATAATAAACGCATACGCAAGATGACATAAGAGAAAAGAATATCTGAAGAACCTGAAAAATGGAATTATTTGGGACAGACGCAAAGCGCTGGGATAAGTATTCCAATTGTATATTAATTAAATTGTATACACATATATTTCTAAAATAGAGCATACGAGCTTACCATACCTATTCTTGAATTAATGAATTAATCCTGAGAATTTTAGCTTCAGTTTTGAAGGCTAACTCTGTAAGAAATCAATTTTTTATACAATTTTATATTTTATGAAAAATTCTTTATAATACCACGTTTTAATTAAAAATTCGCACTTTAATAAAATAACTACAAAGCGTTTATTAATTACATTCTCAATTGCCTGAATTTAAAAAAGCTTTTTTATTTGCAGCTATCGGTTCCCAAATCCTTTTCCCATTTTATACATTTTCATTTTTTCTCTGGGCAAAGCAAAATAGGACCTTGTCCTTCATAATATCCCATTACTGTAGTATTGGTAATTATCATAAAGTCTTGTAGTAATCGAGTCACGGCTTTGTTCGACCATGGCATCTACTAATGTTCGTAATTGCTCTTCCGTATAGTTCATATGAAAACGGTCTTTTAACAAACGAATTGTGCTGCTGCCACCACGAAAACAAGGTAACTGTGAGCCTAAAAATTCAGATTAATTCTTGTCTTTCACAGTACTCCATTACTGTAATATTGGTAACTATCATAAAGTCTTTTTTTTTTAAAACAAAGGGCTCATCTTCAACAATCTTTTTCTCTTTAAAATGCATCGAAAATGCTTCTGAGATGTTTGAATATCAAACAGAAAGAAACAAAGAAACTCATAATGTAACAAAATACTATAAACAAAGCTGGATTTTTTATAAGAACTTTAACAATAATAAAAAAGAAAAGAAGTAAATAAATAAATAAACGAAAACCATTAATCATTATTTCAACGATGCTGACAATTTGTTCATAATGTTTCCTCGTTGCTAGTAAACCTTTCAAGATTAGAATTTTGTAGTAACCGAACATATCACTATCCACACCACCCATGACATCAATCAACTCTCGTGTTAGTTTGAATGGTGAAGTTTCGAAACCCAAATTTTTCGGCGATATGGAAAGTATATAACCAAAATCGATATGTATTAAATGTCCCTCAGAATCTAATAAGATGTTGCCATTATGCCTGCAATTAAAACCTCAATCGAAGCTGGAAAACTAAGAAATCACTAAGGTGATTCCTTAGTTTCACCAAAGAATGAATTTTGTTTTATCAAAGAATTTTATTAAAAAAAATGCTTTCTTCTCAGTTTTAAATATTTTAGCGCACTGTAAGAATTTCAAAGACGATAACTTTTTTCTCATATTTTGTTGTTTGAAAGTTCAAATACAAATCAATCAAACTGACTCACTATTCGGATGAAAGATAATGATACTCGAAGGAGGAAAAAGAGGAATGAAAATGACTTATGAATTCAGATCAGTCTAATTAAAGGAAAAGTATAGAGATGGAAAGTCACATGAACGGCAAATATCTGATTGCTGAAAATGTGTAAATGTCTTAGTTTCTTATCAATAAAGTAGTTTTTTTGTAACTAAATCTTAAAGAAAAGATTACCAACCTGTCCTTGACTTGTAAGAAATAGCAAGCGAGACTATATCCGGCACAACTCCGTACAAAATTTTGTTGCGCAACAAGGAATGCTTCAGAACTTGGAGGACCAAATGTTTCAAAAAAATGTGTCAATAGTGCCGGTTGTATTGCACCGAATGTTGGACTACGGATTATCATATTTTTCTTAATCTGAAAATGTTAACTTGAAAAATGAGCTTTAGCACTGCTGCTCTATTCTAGTAACTGCTGCCGCACATAAACGCTGCTAAAAAAGGTAATCCTATTTTTGCTATTAATATTGGAAAAAGTGTACAAGATTTCCTAAAATTAGAATTATAAATTAGCTAAAAATTTCGGAGGAAATTTCAATATAATATTAAAAAATTAAACCTGATGCAACGACGATGCGTCTAGTATCGGTTCAATCATCCCTGAATTTGGAGAGCATACAATTATTTTATATGGTCTTAGATACAGCGGAACTTTTTCTTCGATCCAGATATTCTGAAATAAAGAAAAAAAAGTATATAAAATGAAAGCAGTCAACAGGACTTTTAGCACTACCGATTTAGTCCTGACTTTGATCATTTATTTATAAATAACATTGCACATTTAATCTGAATTAGATTTCGTTCTATTTTAAATTGGCATTATTTATGCTAAATTTTCTAAAAGATTTTTAGTGATAAAGATTAGAGTTGGATCTGAAAGCAAAAATGAAGCTATGAAGGCAGCCTGAAGAAATAATAGGAAGAGGAAGCAAGTGGATCAGAAAATAGGTTTTGAAATTAATTTCTTCCACTCATTTTCAAAAAATTTCCAAATTGCAACTGATTTAATTAAAAAAGAGCAATGGAATCGAAAATGAAAGCTCAGTATAATTCACTACTGGATGCAAAATTCAAAAGTACGAACTGCAATAATGACTTAGAAAATCATCAAAAATAATGGATAAGTGAGGGATTCAAATTCAAAATATTTTGTCAAAATAATCGAAAAATGATGCATAAAAGCAATACCCGCAAAACAGATAGCAGCTGATAAGCCAACAGTTCTTGCCTCAAATCATCACCAGTTTTCACTATTACTGGCAATAAACGCCAAAGAGGATGACGTCCATATGGCGAGGAATGCCTTATTCTTGCTACTTTGTCTTCCCAGGGTTCACTCATCGCTGAGGCTGATGGATCATCAGGTGTATCGCGTAGCTGCAACTTATGAGTGCCAGCAAATCCCTTGTTTGCTTCTAATGTATCAAATGTTGTTTATAAAGATGAGATCTTTTAATGATGAAATGAATATATACCAATGAAAATTTACCGCTTCATCTTGCTCTCTACAGAAATGACTGTAGGCATTGCGTAATAAAGCATTTCAATTTCTATCCGCAAATCCTCAAATTTAATTCTCTAGCACAGCGCTAATTTTTTTCATCCGAACATTCAATGTTAATTATTAAAAAGGGGATGAAAATGACAATCTTTATTGTACAAGTAATCAGATTTCCTCCTAGCAATAATGTATCCAAATCTGCAAAAAACATGAAGCAAAAATAATTTAAATTTCAACTATCCCATTGCAAAACTTACTTGACGTTTTGGACCCTTGACCCAAAGCGAGAATCGCTTTCGAATATCAGCACTATTCCCCTTTTCCTTGGATTCTGGCGAGGTACCTGTTGAAAGAGGTTTCGAGAAGACATCAGTACATATGGAATCACTGGATTTAATTAGGATCTACAAGCACCAATAATGAAACATCCTGTAGAAATTGATTAAGTTCAATGAATGGAAGATATCAGAAATATTTTATGTTTGCATTCATCACATCATTATCTCTTTCTTATTTCCCTATATTTTCTCTATCTTTTCTACATTCATTTCAATTTGAATTAAGATTGGCGAATTTTTTATGGTGACATGAAGATAATCTTGAGGTCAGACCGTTTATCTTCATCTAGAAAAACGACCAGAGTTTTTTTGCAAAATAACAAGCTATCATCATTTTGCAAAAAGAAATTTGACCAAAAAATATTCTGGTCATTTGCAGAAGTGTGATATTATGTCAATCAAAAAAAAATCACGAATAATTAATTTTTTTAGACAGAATATGCAATATTCCGTCCAGATGCATGCATACATTATTATCTCTAGCAATTGACATTATATTGTAGTTGCTTAAACAAAATTTGTAAAACTAACTTCTTTAGTGTTTTTTTTAAATTCAACCATTGTATCTTCCATCATTGATGCAAAAATATTACGACCCTTGCGCTGATATTCTGCTGCTTCAATATCGCTAATACGTTTGGGAATCTTGGTTCGTCGTACATCTGCTACTTCAAGCACTTCCACAAATAAACAATACGGGGCCTAAAAATCAAATTATTAACGAATACCAATCAATTAATTGTAGAGAATAATCTTTCACAATGGATTAAAAATAAGTGCAAACGAAATCTCTTGCTCATGAAGCCTAGAAAGGCGGGCTTAAAAAATTAGCGCAATTAAAAATGATTTCTTTGTACTCTCCGTAAACTTTCAAAATTCTTCTTACTTTGTCTTTGCTATTCAATATGCATCCAGCAAGTGGTGGTATTCGAAGGACAATATGCTTCAATGAATGTGCATAAAGTGGTAACCAAACACGTGCAGGAAGATTGACATTAATTTTACAAAGTTCATCAACCAAACAACGAGTTCGCTCATCTTTGCTTGAAAATACTTTTAATTTATTACCAATATTCATCAAAGCTTTCACGAATTCTTGTTCCGGTTGAATCTTAAGTGCCTGTAAAAAAACTATGTTTTCATTTTATTGCAAGGTGAGCTTCTACTTTTATGATGAGTATTCTCTTCTTTCTGACAAATTTCTGCTCACTGAAATTTTCAACTTAACAAACTTACTCCACATTTGCACTCTATTTTTATCACATTCTCCTTATCAGTTATGCATCGTTCATCATCAAAACAAGGACAACCATTGTCAAAAGCACCACCTATAAAAACCAATCCTTTTCGAATCAATTTATCTAAACATTTCATTCAGTTAGATATAATTTAAAAATACTAGAAGTCACGGCAGTCACATGGCTTGTCTCATAATTAGTTGAAGTCAACTTAGAGACCGGTAAGAACGACCTGAATTAAGATTAATAGAACTTGGAAATAACTCCAAAACATTAAGCTTATTTCCAAATTATTTGATCCACGATTCAGACTGCTTCATTTCCTTCTGTACAGAAAGGCCTGTTGATAATTAGGACTAATGAAACTGAAAGAGTAGTTCATCATTAACTAAATGAAATTTCCTACGTGAATCAGAACAAATGACACTGGATTGCAAATATATTTTCGTTAAAAACTTCATATGCAAAACTACCCACCACTAGTCAAATCTCCTAAAATTTCTGTACCATGAACACTTTTATTATTCGGAACTTCATCGTTATTCTGCATTCTCGGCATTACTTGCTGTGTCTTATCAACAGTTCTGTAGAGATCTGAAATTATTTCATGAAATTATAAAACTAGCTGATATTGTCTTGTATAGATCTTCACTAATTCATAGAAATTTGTTTCAATTCAAAATACATTAGTTTGATAAGAAACAACACAATGTACTTTTAATTACTTAGGAACAGATGCAAATAAATAATGCGTGAAAAACTACAGAAGTTCTTCAATAATAATGGAATTATTATTCCATTATCTCAGTAATTGTTCAGATTTTGCAAACAGGATGTTTTAGTGATTCACCAAAAAACTTACTAGCTTCTGAAAGCGCCCGGAAATGTCGCTGTGCATGCGATGACAACGCTGTCGTAGTTGCCTTGAGATCAAGTGATTTTTCACGAAATTCATTAAAAATTGACTGCCTTAAACGATATATGTGAGATTTTTGTTCGAATTTTCGAAATATATTAGCTCCATAGGCATCCAATAACCAGCAACATTCCAGCGAAAATTCGACACTATCCTTGCATCTAAAAGAAATTCTCTTAATGAAATACAAAGAAAAGGAATCTAAGAAGTTAGTTGCAATAAGAACTACCTCTCACTTTCATATCAAAGCGTGTTTTCACTACTTTATGGACGATATTTCAAATACTTTCTTCTCATTAATACTTAGTATAAGCACCATTACAAATAAAACTTCAACTAAAAGCGAAAGCAGATATCAAACAGATTTCACGGACAAACCTTTTGACTATATAAGGATGAATGACTTCCGCAACTTCCCGTATATTTATATACAGTACTATAAGTTGTGGTACATAAAAATCCACCATTTCAGCAGGCAGATCAAAAATTCGATTACCTTAAAAAAATAATATCTAAAAGTTACATGCATATACTCAACCATTTCCATTCAAATTCGCGAATCATAAAGAATTTTTTTAATGATTCGCACCAGGCGAATATTTCAAGAAAACAAAAGATGATTAAACTGGGAATCTATTAATCCATTTTGATAATTTAATGATTGTACCTAAGTAATTTAAAACACCAGCTTCTTTACAACTGGAGAGATATCGTATAGCTATCCGAATATCGAATAAATCTGATTCAAATAACCTAAGCAGCCAACTTCGATTGGTTACAGCAAAATAAGGGAAATTCTGAAAAGCAAGTTTCTTTAAATAAAAAAAACTGTAATAACCAACTATAATTGCATGTCTAATCCAGTAACTATAAAGTTAATGTCCTACATTTCTCTTAAACAGATTTACACGGTTCCTTTCGCTCTATCAAAGGCATAGATATTTTTTAACAATTTCGAAACCTTTTTCCACCCAGCTAAACGCACAACAATTTGAATAGAAGAGATTTATGAGTGCCGAACCTCATTCTAATACTCTAGTTAAGTAACCGGCTAAAAGAAGTAGAAACATGCAGCTCAGTCAACCAATCAGGAATTTTCATAACACATGATTAACGTAACCCCTCAGACGTTAAGTCGCAATCTCTTCAAATATCTTAATCGATTGAAATGCATATTGCTAAACGAACTTTGAACGTACCTAAACTTTGACAATTGACACTCCTAAATTTATCTCAATTATTGAACTCGTGATATGCATTCATTGATTTAGTTTTTCAAAAGTCAATTATTATTGTAAGTTCACTGGTTAATAGAAATTAACTTTTACTTTAACGTTATTCTGCTTCGTAACAATAATTTCATCCCTCTTTCCTCGTTCGTCACATGTTTCAGCGAGAGTTTGGTGCTTTTCCATATTGTTTTTAGATACACCGAATTTGGATGTATGTCCATCATCCTCCGAATTTTCTTGCCATATGCAATCACCAGAAGTACCAGTTAGACTTTCTTCATCATCTGCACCGTCCCCAGCAGTACGTGGCCCCAAATTTAGACTTTCCGAAGAGACACCTTTCTCCAATGTGACAGTCGTTAAATTATCATCAATAGAAAATGATGTAGTACTATTCGCCTGTAAATTAAAATAATTTACTATTTCAAAAAATAATTTTAATATTTGTCGTTCATCTTATGAATAATGGTGCAATGTTCCTTCTTTGAATCTTCGAATCATCTCAGTTAACGGAAGGAATAATCATTTCACACATTATTAACATATCATGTGATAACACTGTAAAATTTTGTTCAGGAACAAGTACCATAATCAGAGAAACTACTAATAAGCAATAAAAAACAAGAATATGATTCAAAGCTAAACAGCACACTACCAAACGGAATACAGATTAAAATGGTCATTAAATTCTATTTTGTGTCAGCGACTTATTTCTGAGAGGTATAAAATGTCATTTGCAACTTCTCGTCTTTTTATTCGTCTATATCAAAATTGCAAAAATTTTCAAAATTATAAAGCAGTCTGTGCTACACTCTACGCACAACCTGTTGGAAATTCAAATGAAAAACTCGGATTTTAGCAAAAATAACAGAATGAACCTTGTCAGCAAGGAATGCTTTAGCACCACTTTCAGAATCCACGCGTTTTTGGCATGAATCAATGGAATATACAGCAGCCAAATGAGATTTTATCTCATTATTTATGCATAATGCCTGCAAACTATTGCAGGAAAGACGCTGTGGTTGCGTAACACAGATGGCTTCATTGTTTGACAAATTGAAGGTTTTTTGAAGTACGCATCTGAAAATGATTTTAAAAATAACAACACGAAACACTGCGATAAGACATAAAGCAAAGAATAAACCGTTGAAATGTTCACAAAAAATATACTACTTTGAATTATTCAAATGTATCAAATGTAAATCACTTTTATATCATTGAAACTTATTTATGACGTCAAAGCATTTTGTGATATCTGCAGAAATACTGTAAGTTTTGAGATTTTATAAAATGCACTATTCAAACTGTGTTGAGGACTAAAATGCAAGGATAATCATGAGATTTGAAAAACGGGTCAACTACTGAAAGATCAAATATTTTAATCCAGTTTCAGTAAAAGTGTCTGCATCCAGAACTTTCCGTAGTACTAAAACTTAACTTGTTACCATATCTAAAAATCCATTAAAGTGGACAAATCAGATAATAGCAGTATTCCAATTTTGAAAATAACTCTGACACTTAAATATAACAGCAAATTACAAAAATGCAGCTGCAATAGTTCTGAAAGAATGAAAACGATAGAATGAAAACGTAGTTTATTTATGCATTGCATGACATTAATCACCATCAAATAAGCTTGTCTGTGGAGGAATAAATGAACGAATAAGTCAATGTATATAAGTAACACATATTCCGCCCCGTTTTTTTTTTTCATAATATCGCTGATATCAGAATCAAATTACATACCTGTAGCTACGTTGGTTAATTAAAATAAATAAAGTGCATACAGTTCAAATAAATTAAGAACAAGTGAATGAATTACTGAAGGATTGTATCACTAACGCAATGCAAACAAATTTAAACAAACCGATTTATAAATAATTATTAACACATTAGTCCATCGGCCTTTTATGTATGAACCATTTGATTACAGTAAATCCAAAAGCCCACATATATTAAGGGAATCTTCACATAGTATCAGCAGTCGCTACTGCATTTTTTTTTGGACATTCATTATTTTACTTTCCGCATTGTCTTTATTTGATTTCGGTTTTTCTTCATATTTATTCCGTTTGTCAAAACAACGAACCAATTTAGAGGGAATATTTTAACTATCTCTGCAGCATTTACTAACCGCGCGCAAATTCCGCTTTTTGAATGATCACAATCTGATACCGCACTCATTAATAAAACGCTGCTTCCGTGTTATTAATGGCAATAATGGCAAGATTGCAATGACAGCAACGGCAATATGAATGACTGAACTGAACAACCAGTTTACTATATTAGTTACTACATTGTATTCCGGCATGTCCAAGCAAACTGAGATTCCAGCACCCTTTTTATCAAATCCATTGAAGTTCCAGCTGCATCTATAAAACACTTTTCGGCACTACTTCTGATATCCAGTGAACTGAATGCTACACACTTAATAAACAGTAAGAATTTTCGACATGCACAAAAATTTTCTCATTAATTTCTTCAGCTTTCAAAATTTGATGCATGTGCTTTTTTCATTTTATACAAGAACAGCTTAAAAATTTGAAAATATTCATATTTACTCAATTTCGATAACCGAATAAATCTTATAGTACTCATAAAATATAAATGTGGAATATAATTATAAATAAATTTTTCACCATCACTTCACCAATTCAAATTTAATTTCTAGCTCTTTTATTAGCATATTATAGTACTTCTTTCGATGTCCATCATTAGCGACTTGAGTGATTTCACCCAAAATATCTAGATCTACCTGTTTTATCAGATCCAGTAGCATTAAAAAAAAACAAAGGCTGGATTTTAACTTAAAACGTTGCACATGGAATATAATCTTAAAAGTGAGGTGAAAAATAGTTATCAGAATCACTCTATTCATTTAAAAGAAGCTTTTACAGTAAAACTCCACTATGTACTTAACCCAACTTACGTAAGTACAATGCAAGAAGACCACACCACAACTTCATAACAGCCCGTGAAAGGCTGATTGAGATACTTATGAAACGTTGTATCTGTCCTTCTCAACGTAGGGTTCAGCCTCTGGGAGTTGGTGATAGATTTGTAATGCTATCTGATAGCTTTTTCATATTCACATAAAGGAATTAATCAAAGTGGAGGAGTATTTATCGTACTACCTGTGCAATGCCTTCCAATACCAATTTTTTTGGTCAGAATAACAGATCGATGAGGAATAATTTGATTCTCGAAAGTGATACTGATAATAAAATGTAGCGATAAAGACTTGATTAATGCTGTGCATAATAGGTATTTAATGATTAAAAATATCTTGAAAAAAAAGGTACTTTTAATTTCCGAACTTCTAAATCTCAAGTTTCAAAACACATTTGCCTCTTTAATAAGTAATCGATATCCATAACAATGTTTACATGTTTAATTAGTAACAGTTACCACTGGGGTTGATGAAAACGCAAATTGAAGTGATATTCTTTATTGCTTCTCATTCGCCTTACAAATTTCGACTTACTAATAACACAACTGGCACTTATGGCCAATGACTTCAAGCACAAGACGTTATTATGTAGGAATTAAACGTATAAATATAAATCTAACACTTTTAATATCAAGAACTCACTTTTTGTGTTTTCAACAACCACATCAAAGGCAAGACTGCAATGAAACCAGGTATATTTGAAATTTGATAGTTACCAATTAAAATTATGAATAATTTGAAGAAGTCAGCTATCGCATGTATATCATAATACAAATTTTATTAGAGATATGTGTAATTATGGTGACTAATGCATTCCAACAATAATTGCTGATTTATACCTTCACTTCTCACAATTGAGCATATTTCTACAAGTGAGCATATTTCTCGACCAGATGCATCTTATAAAACAGCAAGTCATTCTATAATTGAAAAATGGTGCCTAAGTTTAAACTTAAATTAGATTTCTCATGCAATATTACCGTTATGCGGTATATATTTACGTCAGATCATTTGCTTTCGCATAAATCGTAAAATGAAAACTGCAATTTAACAACATAACACGATATAACATGAAACTTGTTTTGAAGATTAAAAGGACAACTTTAAGACCTAGGAAGAACGAGGAATAATGTCGATAATACAACGCAAGAACAAGTGTACGTTTAGTTCTAACGAAAGTACTTAAAAGCATAAGATTTGCCAAATTTCGAGCATAAATCTGATTAAGTAAGCAAAATACAACATTTATCTTTCTTTCTAAACAGTCATCAAAAATAAGATATAGGATCAAAAAACAGATTTCATGTATCGATAGAAAAGATACACCACGCCAGATATAGCTATAGGAATTAGAAAATTACTCCATGTTGGACTGAATATGATATCTACCCATGATGTAGTGTTTTTGGCGATAACTGCTGCAGTGGATGAATTAGTTTTGTCTTCCAAGGTTGAATTCGCATCGGATAAACAACCGATCAGATATTCTTTGGTCATCTCTACCGCATCCCGTGAATGACCAATATCTTTGAAACTTTCTGTTGCATTTTGTCCAGCTTGCTCCAGCAGTACTTCATCACCGCCTGGATGCTCTTCCAAAAATCTTGTTACATCGTAGACCTGCAAAGCTAGTTGAGCTAAATGAAATCTGATAGTTATGATATTTAATTAGCGAATACAACTAAGGAGTTATCGGTACAAATAGATAGAAAATACCATACAGTTATAACAATTAATCGTTTTTGAAAATCAGTCAGCAAGACTAATCAGAAAAAGAAATTAATATAGCTAAAAGACCGAAACTGAAACTTCTCTCAATAATTTATTGATTAATTGCAATCATCTGGTAAACCAACATTATTATCGATGATTATCCATGTAGACGAGGCGTCATTATGGGCAGCAACTTCTGCAATTGTGTATTTTGTCAAGTCCTTTTTATCAGCCATCTTCGATACTGAAGTTGTTACTTAAAGCAAAATAAACTACAAAACCACACCGGTGACGATTGTTTCTAAGCAAAACTGAAAATTTTCCAATAAAATTGCAAGGAAATAGAAAACGGCTGTTCATGTGCGATTCATTTCGTCCACCGTGTAACAATGTATTGAATTAAATCGTACACAGATTGCAGCAAAGTAATATGGGAAATAAACTGCAGATAAATAAATTCCATGATATAATTGGACATATAACATAGATCCATTCTTTCATAATTCCTTTTATTTATCACAATATTTCTAATTCAAAATTCTCTCTGCTCTTATCAGAAATTCTGCATATTACAATTCCAACACTTCATTCAACGGAACATCTTTTCTCCTATACATGCCAGTTGAGTTATTACAAGAGGAAAATCTCGAAAAAAATTATTCAAAACATCAGTTGGTTAAACTATTCTGCTTATAGTTCTGGGCGCTGTACTTTTTTCTTTTTTAATGATAGACACTATAGCAAGATATAGCAGCTGAAATTGCTTATTATTCAAAAAAGGATAAAATTGTATTTAGGAACTTACGAAGAAACCATAAAAGAAGAGTCGAGACAGTTTTAACTCAACTTTCAAAATAAAGAAAAAATAAAAATGATATTTCCACTTAAATATAAAAAGATTTTAGTTGGTCGATGAACTTTCAGTGAAATTTACAAACAAATATTTAGCATTCATCTAGCATCTTAGATATTAACAATATCAAGAATGCTAGATGAATGCTTTGTAACACTTTAAGGATAATGATCATTTTAGCTAGTTAAAATGATGAAAATGACAGTAACATCCATATAGACTAGCCAGTGATATTTCTGAAAGAATTCGCGAAGTTAATTCTTAATTTCGGTACTGCCTCGATACAGTCAGACAATTTGAGATTCAAAAGATCAATAAAAAAATTCATGGATGTAAAGGTAAGGTAAACTACGTCAAAATTATTGCACAGTTAGTAAGATGGTAGGAGTAGTACTGAAAAATGAACCAGTCAATTGTGACCATAAGTCTTTGTTAATTTTATCATAAAACTGATCTATTTCTAGAAAACTCCAATCAATCAACCTTCAAAATTCAACTTTTTTGAAAAAGCTAGCCGATATATAGTCACGGCTTCTATTGCAAATAGTAAGAGAAAAAATAAAATATTGCTTCAATTTTGGACAATGAATGTGGAATTTGTGATATCACAGAATGGAAAAATGAAAGAGCAGAGAAAAAAAGGCCGGTAGTCGCAGACAAATACAAGTGCATCAGCTGCTGATAACAAATTTAACGTGAGAGTTGCAGATATGCACAACATCCCTCATAATAAATGACGAAAATGCCAAACGGCAAAGTTCATGTACTTCTTCATCATTGCTAAAAAGCAATTATACATTTAGGATTTAGCCACTGAGAAATAATCTAGTCGTAACAACCTCGGTAGCAACTGACGGACACATAAAAAAGAACAGCCCTGTTCTGGAGTTATATTTTATCTGGTACCATAAGCATAACTACAACTTCAATTTCATTAAGATTTTATCGAAAATAATTTTGAAGAAATTATTCACCTCCGTTAATTTATCAAAATTGATAATTTTATTTGAAAAATTATAAACCTATGCCATGCAACTAAAATTAGAACATTATGAAATTATTATAAATCTGCCTAATTTAAAAATGGTAATGTGAAATATGCTTTTTTATTTGAGCAAATATTACAAAAAGATAATTAGGAAAGTAAACATATAGACGATCTACGAGAACATAACTAATTTTCTTTATTCTATTAAAAAGAATGAAATAATTAGTAAAGATAATCATTGCGACTGCTAACTTACATGGCAAAAAACGTGTAGTTAGAACCTATCATTAAAAATTGGGTTCAAAATTAACCGTGTGAAAATTGAATACTTTAACATACTTTACCAAGAATGATCACAAAAACAAAATATGTTTACAGAAAACTATTCATGTCAGTTGCTGACATGTTTTTGAGGAAAGCAAATATGAATAGATTAACAAAAATAACTTATAGGAAATAAGCATAAAAATAACTTCAAATAACTAGTGTTAGAATAGAAAGCTAAAAGCTGTAAAAGATCTAAACGTAATTTAATCACATTTAATACTTGAATAAATCAGTCGAACAAACCGATGACGGGCCATGAATGAAACGGTACTCATTACAAGGAAGAAAATATAACACAGCTGAAAGAGATGCGAAAAATGTTTAGCAGTTTGTAGCAAACCATTAAAAACACAAATATAGCGACTGATCTGAAAAATTTTAGTTTCAGTTCAGTTTGAAATCTTCATAACCGTAAGCTTTTTTTATTTAGTTTCTTATCCGCACAATCATTAAGGCAACTTATTGCAGAATATAAACTTTAGCATCTGCAGAAACGCACAGTAGCGACATCATGACCACTGCTGAAACAAAATTATGCGCCGGCCCATAATTAAATATTTTCGTGTACAATAATAATTACAAGAGAACAACACGTACTTCAAAGTTTGATTCTAATTCCATAGCAATGATGTCATTGGATGAAGATGATACACATATAAGATGCTATATATCAAAATATTACTTTTTATCTTCGATAAATCAAAAATATTATAAAGCATAAGACTGGTAGGAAATGAAACAATGTAGTTGATAAATAATGACAGCGGAACAATCCAAGCTTTAGACATCTAAAACAAACAGTCGGCTTATTAGAAGCACATAAAAAGCATATAGCGTTTATTGTTCCACAATTTAACAAAAGATGAGAATTTCTGTGCTCTCTAAATACTTTTGTGATACATACAACATGGAAGTTTATTACAACAAACTAACAAGCTTTAGTCGAATAACAGACTCCTTAATCAATTCTTTGTATTGATATCACTCAAAGCACATTCTTCCGTTTCTGGTTGCTTCCATTACAATCTTTCAGATTTTAGTTTAATTTAAAATATTTATATTTATCACGAAGTGTGTAATGCAACATAAAAGTTTTAAAATTTTGCATGATAAACTGCTTCGCATCTCTGATCCAGGAATAATTCGATCCTAAAGAATGAAGTTACTACGAAGGAAAATTGGAGGCGACAGATTTTGACAAGTGGCGGACGTGATAGAATAAGTGAATATCCAGAAATAAAAAACCGCCATATGTTTAACACTATAAAGCAACATATATTATTAACCTTTATTAAACTCAAAATGCCAAAATCACTACGCTACGTATTAGAAATCAATGAACAGAAAGATAAGTTTTGTTTAACCTACCCGTAAAAATCCTACGAACTTTGGATCTCAGATTTAAATTTTATTATACCCAATATTTATTTGTTGGGTATAATAAAAAATAATAATATTATTCATGTCTTCCTCAACAACTATTATTATTTGATAGTTTAAGACGTTAGAAATTGCAAATTTTTAAAAATACTTTAGTCGATTGCAGTATTTTAATACAAATTTACTAGATATGCATACGAGAAAATTTTATTTCATTGAAAACACATAAAGAAAATGCCTATTCAATATATACAAAGATACAAGTTATTTTATCTTCTCGGCAAATCCACATTTGTATGACGATAACTGCTTTGGTCCCTGAAATATAGTTTAATAAATTCTTAATTGAGCAGCAAATCAAAAATCAACAGTGTGAAAAACTTGAAGAGAAATAGATTTAAAAATAAATCTAAATGAGGAATAAAAAAAATCTGTTCTCTTCTTGTTCAACTTTTAACTCATAAAATCAGAAGAGTTCAAAAACTATATATTTATGTGATGCAACAATAACACTGTATATTTACTCATTTCAAAATCATTTTATCTAAGAAAAAAACTCTTCAACTATAACCTTTTATTTCAGTTTCCAAATTATTCCTAACTGCTTAACAACTTTCAGCACCATCCCTGCTTGAAATGATCATTAGTTCCAATCCTATTTATTTTTTTCTAGCTTTCAGCAAGGAATCAACTATACAAAAACAAATACGTACTTTAAGCAATCGTCATGACGTTTGTATTCCAAAATAGCATTTGGAGGTAGATTCAAAACCCGTCGCAAGGTATCACGAATACGGTTTGTCGTCGCCAAATTATCTGCTGTGCGATTCCACAGCGAAACAATATCCTCCTATAAATAATACCACAAGTACGAAAAAAACAGCTGGAAAACTACTTATAAAATGACAAACAATCAAAGAATTCAGAAACCAAAATTTCAACATAGTTGTAAGATACACACTGATATTTAATAAAATAAAAGGCGATGCAACAGAAAATCGCCAGTACAGCTATACAAGCTCATAACATCTTTGGATCCCGTGGAAGTCAGGATACAAAAAATTAAATTCAAAAACAAAAGCAATCAAGAGAATAAATTTTTTCAATTGTGGTGCAAAACTAGCCTGATTGCGTATGGAGCATACAGCACCACAGATTTCCTCACCAACAAGAAACTGCTCGCCAATCATTGCTAATATTAAATTTTCCCAAATTCTCGATGAAAAACCCTTTTTCAAACGCAAAATCCATTTACCACCCTAAATAAAAAATGAAATTTTCTCCTTCAAGCTAAATACCAGCAATAAATTAAAAATTAATCTTTCGCCGTTAATAATATAAGTTTTTAATATGTATTAAAACATGTTAAAAGAAGTTTTTAATATGTATTAAAACGTGTTAAAAGATGCTAAAATAAACCTTTCGATTAGCCTCATCTTCCCAAACAGGTTTGATGCCTTCTTTGAACATGTGAAAATCTACTTTTTCAGTGATATCTGAAATTTGCACCTTGTTGTAAGTTAGATCAGACCAATTTCAATCAAAATTTCACTCACATTTTTGTGAAACAACAAAAATCTTAACTATCAGACAAAGCTAAGTTGTTATCCTTCTCCCAAAAATATTACAGAAAGTTGAAGGATATGCTCTAAAATCTTACCATATAAAAAAAAATTGAGGATAGTTGAATTCCAATTTTTGGTGCCTACTGGAAACGGATACCAAAACTTTGCTATGATAAAACCAACCAGCAGGACGTTTCAAGAAACAATATGTATTCCAGAACTGTTCCACGGAATTGAATGAAGCCACTGGTTGAACATATGAAGCATAATCTTCTGGATCAAATTTCCCTTGTGGACGTACAAAATAAGAAAACACATAAGTGAATTCCAGTGGATGCTCACTGTCATTACATGGACTCGGTTTCTACAAGGAGAATTTGATCAAGTAACGTATATCTCTTAATCGCGGATGAATTAAAATGAAAATTAATGATCTAACAAAGCAACTATTGACAATTATTTAGCCTTATTTCAGTTGGTAATGAAGCAAACATAATCGAACTCCACTTTCACGTCTAGAACTAACTATTCCAGGTACGCCAATAGCTCACCTTCTCAGAAATGAAATTAATTAGAATATGACAAATATTTTCCATGAAATTGAAAAGCATCTAATTCCTAAATATTCAAGACAAGATAAATAATCAAAACTATACCACTAATAGTACTGAATCTGATTTTGATTGCTGCTGCAATTTTTCTTTTGTTTCGGATAAATTTTCATCACCAGGAATTTTGGAGTCTCCTTTAGCAAATGATTCTAACATAAGGCTGATTAATTCACTGTAAAAATCTAAAAAGCATTATATTGAATAAACCCATCAGGGATGACGAACAAAAGATCGACCGAAATGTCAATTTTAATTGGAAAATCTCGAATTCTAAAAAAAATTAGAAATAAAAATTAGACAGATCAAAATAGTCCTTTCTTTCTTACTTTCTTCCATACAAGAGTACATTCATTTCTATTTTATCATCCGATCAATTAATCTAAAGTGCCACTAGCGCTATTGTCTGCAGATGATCGAATTTTAAAGCTTTAAACCTTTACTAGTCAACTTTGTCAAGACCAGCTGTCAAAGACTTAATCGCTGATTTCAGATTTTTACTTTGGGATACATATTAGTCTTTCATGATGCTGAACTATTTACTTCACTTCTAAACCAGTAACCTCAAATGCCTCCTAAAATTCAGAAAAACCCATATGACCTATTCCGGATGCTTTCTCTACCTCTCACCCAAAACCTCATATTCATCCGATTGTCAATAAGTCCCTTCGCGTTAAAAATTGCCGACACTTAATGAAAAAATGGAGGCCTCAAGCGGAGGATGAAAGAATAATTCCACTCGCATGCAACTCTCGATGCAATGTTCGCGATCTGTACCGTATATCTGATTTGATGCGGATATGCATGTTGAATTTGTACAGGGACGTAAGTTTTGATAATAGTTAAAACGTGATAATATTCTGCATTAATGATTTCTTAAGCTGAAAGGCTCGTGATATCTTGCACTGGTACATTTTTTAAATTATTTCAAAATCACACAGATTGGTCTTTTCACGAAATGTTAGTTTCTATGAAATTTAATTATACATGAATGTTCGGCGCGACAAAAGGCATTGCTGTTATGATTTATTTGATGTTCTTATGTTCACACTTGGTATATTTTCAAATACAGTAAATTTCAATGAATACTAAAATTTGGAGGTCAAGTGGATGAAATTACAGCAGGTAACACTTTCAACATATTCAAACATATCTGAGGGCCCAAATTGGTCACATTCTAAATATTTCGTTCTTGAAATAATCTCATCCGGAAAATTATTCCGAGCACACAACAATGAAATGTGAATTCTAGATAGAATTAATAAATTTTTTTGATACAATGAGAACGGAGCAGCATTTCTGAATTCATAGTAATGAGTAATTTCTCTTTAATTGAATGGAATGTATATATGACAAATTGTGACATTTGACATGAGAAATACTATATATGTGGAACTTCAGCACTATTTGTTTTGTTGAAATTATCAGAATCAGTAACTCTATATTCTAACCATTTTTCGCTAGCAGAATATAAAAAAAATTGAGAATTTCAACACAACAGAAGCACTTCTAAAATATCCTTAGAACCATAAATGTTGAAGATTTAACCATGTCATCGGATTTATTTCACTGATTATATTTCAATTCAGATTAAACTTGCTAAGGACCGGAATCCATTACAACAATAATGCCCTTCAAACCTGTAATGAGCATTTTTAAAAAAACTGCAAAAATCCTACCTTAAAAACAGAGATAAGGAAGTGATGATTAAATAAATGAACTGGTTAAATAAATAGGTAAACGTCATGCACAAATATTCACCTAATCGGGAGTGGAGGTATTGAATATCTGAACTGGGGTACTGAATTCCCCCGAAAACCTATTGTTCAAGCCTTTTTACTTTTTATCTGTTTGAAGACATCATACATCATTAGCAATATAGCAATATCACACATCGTTTGTGGGAAAATAGTATTTGAAATATATACCTTATGTTGCAGATGACTGTGGTACGCGGTCTAATATGCTGAGGAATCTTCTTTATACACAGTGCGAAAATGAATATCAGAAGAGCAGCCATTATTGGAGAATCGATAGATGTTAAGTCAAAGACAACCACTCCTTTTACTAGTAATAATGCAAATTGTTGGTTAATAAAAGTTAATGGACTTCCATTGACATATATGAGCAAATCGTCCAATGGCTGATTTTAAATTGCAGTGACTATTGTTCATAGCAATTTTAATTTTACAAATCAACAAATAAATAATGACAATCTTCCGAAAGACAACTGTTTTGAAATATAAGGATGTGGCGTTTTCCACGGATAGAAATCGAAACCTTCCTTTATTTAGATCGAAAACGCTGTAAGAAAAAAGTGCTATCTACCAACGTTCGAAAAATATTTTATTCTGCTTTGTCTTTTAAAAGAAGTTCAAATTTGGGAAGAGTGTTACGATGGGACAGAAAGCGAGAAGTTTCCGAGAAAGCAATAAAATATTAAAACAAAATCGAGAAGGAAGTGTTGGGGCTGTCCCAAAATTCTCTGTGAATATTCTTTTTTCCATTTGGTTTGGAGAAATTAACAGCGATGCAAAAATATCCCGGAATCGATTGGATTTTTCAGAGAGTAAACAACCTAATTGTGACAAAACATAGGAATAGAAATGTTAAGGTGCATAAAACAACATATTCATACAAACCTCAAGTTAATGAATCCTAGCATTTTGCAAAAATATCAGCTAGAATGGACTCGTCGGTCAGAAAGGCTTCTGTATTCCAGTCGGCGCCTTTGACGAGTGGCTGACGATGTTAAGCAGCAACATGGACAGAGAGCAGAGATACATTGGCCAAGTGCAGCACGAAATTCCTGATTTATGAACAATGAAATGAGCAACTTTGAGGAAGGTCCACCGATTGCAAGCCATACAAAAACGAAATCCACTGTTGATAGATCTGCTGGACTAAGCATCGACTGTGGGACGAAACGGACAGCGATAACGGGCAGCCAAGAGAGAATGAAAGCAATGAGCACGAAAAAGGAAAGAGCAAAATTGTGATCCGTTTCCAGCAATAAACGTTGATTGTCTTCAAGCTGCAATTACCTTTATATTTTCAATATGAGTCACAAGAGCAAAAAATAAGAGACAATAATTAGCTTGCAACTTTACTAAATATTTTTCATTGAAATATACTGTAAACTGACGATATTCACACCACATTTGCACTACAACTGAAATTTCCAATGAAACTTCAGACAAAACTGGATTTGAACATATCATTGCAATATGGCGATAACAGTGAACATTCAAATATTTTAGTATCCCAATTGTACATTTACAAAAGATGCTGGAAAAAACTTTTGCATCTTTTGTTGAAATGAATTATTCTTAAATGTCCAAGTGCCTTTCTAAATACTTCCAAATAATTTGCACAATTTCCATCTTAAAATTAGGGCTGAAGTAGCACCTACCACAATATAATTACGAAAAAATATAGATTATGCAGCTTTCAGACTATGCTGAAACGAGAAATCGACCTTAGCATGAAAATTTTTCAGCTCATTGTTCTTCCATCAATCACCTCTTGATTGCGCATATATTTTCTTAAACGTCATTGAATCAGAAAAAATTTTTTTCCAGAATGTATGATCTTAAGGGAACTTTTTAGAAATTCAGATATGGATCCTTTTCACTACTCTTTCGGATAAATACCACTTTACATGACATTTACGTAGCAAAAAATATCAGTAAAACAGCAGTAAGCAATAAAAACAGCATAATTTCTAAGCTCTAAAAGATTAAATTGCTTTTAATACTATTGCATCTATTGCAACAGAATTGAAAGGCAAAATTTTTTTAATTTTTAAACGCCAATTTTTGGAAATATTTTATTTAGCCATTTTACACTACAGAATACATCGGTTTTCTTCGTTCCTGGAAGAAATAAAAAATGCTACCATTAAATGTTAGGCTATCAGTGCATGATAAATTTCATTATTTTTTAAATATTTGTATATCACTAAGATGACACGACTGGTAATGCTATCCATCCATGTATTAAACAAATGGTAATTGTATATTTCAACAAGAACATGCTATTCGCAAAGAATGTGAAAAATGTTGAATAAAACAAGAAACTGACCGCATGTGAATTTCGCATAGCCCAGAAAATTGAACAATAAGTGAATAATATACTGCAAGTAGAAGGTACTAAGATAAGTGAGGCTAATGTTACACTATAAGCCGTTGTTGCTGACCAATCAAGCAGGCACAATTCCGCTGCATGGTAATAGGAGACCTAAAAGACTATAAATGTAATGTAAAAATTCAATATACGAAGCATATAGATCGAAGAACAATTCTCACTCTTTAATTTTAAAATATGATTCATAAAGAATCCGCTTCCACTTTACCCATTGTTATTTCACATACTCATAAAACATGTATTGTATAAAATGCACATTAAATATAATGCTTCGCTACCAAATGGTAATTTACATTTATAATGATTATTTAAAGTTCATTTTTTAGCTATTTATAGCTCACTTAAAACTTACAAAATATAAAGTATGTAGAAGTACAGGAAACGATCTGACGTGACACCGCAAAGAATAAAAAACGATACCTTCATGCGGGCAACAATAATAGGCAACGAAAAGAGTACAGTGCTACTCCATGTGAACGCAATCCAACATTTACACCTCGTTATGGTCTGCTCCGCTTCGTATCTGAACTGAATAAAAAATTAGACAAAAAACTTAGAAAAAATAGTAAATAAATATGTAAAAACATGTGTACTCAAGCCTTTCATAATTTCTCGATTTTGTGAAACAAAGATTACAAATAGTTTTACCAGTCTAATTTGTGAAGAAAAGCAAGCAAAACAAAAATTATAGTAAAAAAGATAAAAGAATCTTTTTCTACATAATTCACCTATCGAAAGTTTCCGTATTTGAGTTATATATTCAGATAAAAGATAAATTAGATATTACTCAGTAAATTTGAAAAATAGAAACAATCAACTTACCTTTGAGGTTTCATTAGAGCAGCATATCGGTCAATACCAATCCATGCAAGGGTATAGGCAGTATTAGCCAATAGAACTATTTCTAAATATACTGAGCATTTACAAACCAACGAATTATCACCCATAAATTGCCAATCTGGTGCTAAAGCACTGTACATGCTAGTAGGTATTATTGCCACTGAACAGAGCAAATCTGCCGCTGATAAAGAAACCTGCAAAAACATTAAATTTCAGCAGTTTATGAAAATTAAAACGAAAGTAAGTCAATGACAAATGTAGTTTCCTTGCTCACACTTTTTTAAAATTTTTTATCTTAAAATTTAATTCTATATAAGTTTCTTTCTTGCAAGTGTATTCGTTGGATAGGTTTTGTAAATAAAGTCAGTAAGAGCTTTGAATTTTAATTAATAAATGCACTACAATTAATGAAAGAAGAAAAGAGATAACGTGTTGAATAGAAAATCCCATCATTATGTGTACAAGGCTTTCAAAAGATGATAAGTACAAATAGAAGCCCGCCTTATTTAGTTGTATGAAATTTGCTTTTCGTTTTATCATGAGAAAAATAACTTTTTTTCCATTCAAGTAGCTAACAAGTCACATCTTCAACTTGAAATATGTGCTTCAAAAAACTTCAATCTGAAACTTGGAAACGGTAATATCAACAAACCATATAATAACCGATGACATCACGGAGTGCATCGTTACATAATGTTATTGTTATGGAAATAACTGCCGAAAACATTAATAGTAAACCAACGGAAAGTATCACTGCTGCCCGTGCTAATGCTTCCGATGTTAGCGCTGAAGGATCAACCATTGCCAGCATTTCGCACCTTTATACAATCATTATTATTCATTTATTTTGATTACATATATAATTTTATTTACAGTAATCAATTTAATGACACGATTTAGATTCAGATTTTCCCATGCTCTACAACCTGAGACAAAACTGTTGAATAAAGGAAGAGCAAGGAACTAGT